GATTGTTGGGGATTTTTATCCCATTCTTAATAGCTGCCTCGTTCGGATCATACGGTATAGCTTACGGTTTGAATGCGTCCCATTTATATCTAAACTAGCGAAATTAAAATGGTGCATTTTGCCTGGTTACCTTTTTCAACCCTGTCACCCAGCACCCATCGCGCCTTTGCGGATATTCCAAGTACCCCATGCCGCACAATTCAATTGAAGCCCTAAGCTCGCGCACACTTGAACAGATGCGGTCTACTTTGAACGAACTCTCCTTCATTCGTTTCCCCCTCTCCCTTTATTTCCCCATTTTTTTCTTTTTATCTCTTTGCGAATATTATGGCACTTTCCGTGTCGAATGCGCATAAAAGCATGCAGCACTCGCTCCCGGAACCGAGGGCATAACCAAATTACGACCGACAAGTGGTAAGACCCTTTTTCGTGGCCCGCAAATGTTTTATAGTTTTTCGGTGTATATTTGTTCTTACGTTTGAGTGGCTCCTTTAACTCACGGCGTGCCGTAGTGGCGGTCCTCTTATCGTCGGGCGGACGTGCTGCATAACTCGGTTCTCGTGATTAACGGAATTAATGGATTTAAGGTAGTTTGAAGCGACAAGGACTCCCAGGCAAAAGCTTTTCCCTTTCCTGCTGTTGAAGCAAGGGGCCAAGGTTTTTACGCCCGAACAAAGCGAGGCGCCTGCGTGAAAACGATGAACATAATAATGACAATAATACAAAACGAACAAAGAAAATAAAGAGGTGGCGGCGGAGCGGGGCTCGGCGAGCCTTACGGAGAGCGCTTGGGGTTCGTGTCCGGAGAACCGGGCGTGAGCTCCCCACGTCTCAAGTGCGGCGCGAATTTCTTCAAAGGGAAGCGCCGCTAGCTGGGACCGAGATCTAGTAGAAATATAAGTGTTTTGCCGCGTGACGCGCGAGACTAGGTGCCATCCTCTCAGTGTGGCCCACGCGGTCGAAGTGGAGCGATGGAGAGTCTGAGTTTTTTGTTGTGTTTTCTATAATTAAGGTCGGAAAGAAAGCTCAAATTGATTCATGGGGTGATGCTTCACCAGGCAACACGCAGATCTCAACATTTAAAATGTGGAATAAAACTTTGGTTTGGGCTAGTTGGTTCATATCGATTAAAAGGTGGAATAACGTCGTTGCTTTTTTGTTTCTTTTTGCCCGCGGCAGCTATAAGGCGACAGAATAGAAACTGCGTGAATTCTTCCGGAAAGTTGGAAAACTTCATTATTTTTTTTTTGTATCCAAGTTTAAAACGCAGTTTTACCTCATTCGCCATAATTCATTACTCTGTAAAATAGTAACGTTGTGCGTATGTTTCTACGACCGGAACTTAGTCAGCCTTTATGTGCGTCTGGTGTCTCAGTTAAAACCAACGTTACTAAACCACTCAGTTTAAAAACTGCCATAGAGACTGCTCTGAAAAGTGGCCCCGATCTGTTCCCGAGGAGTGAGCTAATGGCAAACACAACGCCGCCATTTCTGCCGCAGCGGCCACTCGAGGAACTGCACGTGACTTTTATTTTGGCTTTAATCGCCCATTTTGGCGCCGAAGCAGGTACAGTGGAAGAGGTTACAGCGGTCGCGCCGCGTCTTACTACCGAAGTTTAAATGCACCTAGGTCGGGACGCGCTGCCTGAAAACACCGCTGAGGCATGGTGGTATAAAAACAATATTAATCGTGCCGCAAAACCTTGCAAACTAAAGATTTTAAAAACATCACGCGCCCTTCATTTTGTACTAAACTCCAATAAATTTCATACAAAAAAGGTCTTTTTCATTTGGTTTTACGCAAAAAACATGCTTTCTGAATGCTCAAGGTGACCACAGTACAGACAAATGATAAAGAGTGGCGCTGTTGTCGTATTTAGCTCGGTCTCGGTGGACGCCAACGGCCCAGCTAGGTTTCGACGGCGAGTTTCCCAACTGAGTGTTCTAGTAACGCTGGCTAAAGATGAGAAATTTAGCCATTGCAATACAGCCGCTAGCCTCGGGTCTTTAACTTGCTTCAAGCGGTAGGATAGACTACCGCACGCTTTTATGATGCTCATCCAGATCGAAGCGGGCAGGGGTAGGGATTAAACCCAAAACCCTTCGGTTCTGCAGCGCGAGCTTTCGCTCCAAGAGTTCCGAGCTGGTGTGCGCTAGCCACACTCGCCCACTGATCCCTATTCCCTACTTTGTAGATCTACATTCTCTTTAGTTCTATTTGGGAAGTTGAAGAGTTCATGTGATAGAATACCGCGGATGTCAATCGTGGTTAGGGTGTATATGTGTGGAGACGGAATTGGCAACGAGCTCGTTTCTGTGATGCTATTCTTGGTGTCAAATTAAATTGGCGTCTTCATGACGTTTTAGTTTTGCAAGTTTAACCTGTAATCAAGCTTGCTTATGACAGACTTCTGGCAAGTTCACAATAAAGTTTTCAAAAAATTCCTCAAATATTTTAGAAAAAGAAAAAAAAGTGCTCTGTCGATGCTCGTCACTTGATTGTTTTCTATTCAGCTCTTGGCTCTACGACGAACGTTCGAATTGAATCTCGCCTCAACGTTTTTTTTTTTTTTTCTATTGTCTTTTTTTCAATTTTATAAAAATTGTTAAAATAGCACTTTTTTATATGATATTAACGTGGCAAAGTATTACAGCATACAATAATGTAAAACTCCCCATTTTCGCGGCCCCTATTGTTCGCGAATTGTTCACAAAGGACATAATCGCGGCCACTAAATTTCGCAAATTCCAGACACCTCATCGAAACTCTTAAGAACCGAAATTTTCGCTTGCTTTCAAGTTTCGCGAATTTTTCAATTCACGAAATTCGCGAAAATTAAAGACTCGCGAAAATAATGGTTTTACAGCATGTCCTTACAGGATGGTGCGCTTAACAAAACAAAATATTCTTTAGCCGTAAGCCAAATATTTCATTTTTTATTGTGAGCAGCTTTTGCATAATGTGCAATACGATGTTTAATAAAGCGTGAAACACTTCATTACGGCCGCAGAAATTAGTGCATATTCCTAAAGACGTAACAACTTACGGCTGGCACACATTGTCCCCAGAAAAAATAGCGAGACAATCGTGCTAAAACCACTGAGCCTTGATTTTCATCACAACACCCTATGTATACATGTGCTCAGAGAACGTCGACTCTCGCGACACTATCGTGTCAAGTACTATATTTGTGCCTAGTTATTACGTTTTGCTTTTGCCACCATTTTTACTGCGCAGTTTTATAAGGTATAAATGGAGATTGAATATATTATCGACAGGAAAATACTGGGGGCGGTTCTGTTTGTTGACTCTCAAAGTGTGAGTCTCGCAGTTCGCTCCCTTAAAAATACTAAAAATATGCTTTTACAACAAATTTGACATAAAATTAACTCTACTTTGCATGATGGTCAAAATATGAAAAATGTGTGTGGCACTTAGTCACGTCGGCATACTACTCACCAAAGAAGCTGACATGCTTGGAGAGTCTGCAAGTAACTGTGCCCAATATTTGCCCTGTTTACCCTATCAAGATATAAAACTTTTGGTGAAGTCCTCGATTCTTCGTCGTTGGCAGTCGGAATGGCACATATAGTGAGAAAATAAGCTACATGTCACCAAACCTGCTTTGGGAGTTTATTAAAGCTCATCGTCCAACAGCCGACTTCATGAAACTTTGCTGTGCTGTCTGAGAATTGAACACTCTTTCATAACTGCTAGGTATCTCCTTTGATGGGAAGATCCACCAGGCTGCGGTCAGAGTTGCGAGAGGCTCACTGTTTTGTTGTTGTGTCCCGGCGTTCAGCCCAAGCGCACGCATTCATTTTCCTGAGTATTTCCAACACCATACCTCATTCCATCTTGCTCTTCTTGTGGGATTGAATCTTCTAGTTTCTTTTGAACGAGTAGTATACTTTCCTGGTGGTATTGATATTTGACACCAATTCTAGTTTTCTGGTCACACCTTTGTGAAACCCTTCCTACAGTACAAAATTCTTTCAGTTAGTTTGGCGCAGATGGCCTTGTAGCTTTTGCGCTGTAAACCCCTAAAATCGTTTTCTCTCTCTCATCACGTTTTCTAAACCTATAGCTAAAAACGCGTTCGTGTCTCGATCTTACTCACTGTGCAAGGTACGCAACAGTAGTGTATATAATTTCAAAATATATAATCGTGTTGATACTCGTGAGAATTAAATGCGTTGTTAGTTTTCAAATAAAATGGCGACATTCGTGATTTTCTCAGGTATGCAAATTTAAAAAAATGGCGTTTTCTTAGCAAAGTATTTCAATTTTCAGAAAAACACGACATTTACCAAGACTCAAAGCTATTTTACCTGCCCTCAGGCATCTTTAGTTAATGGTCAAATCTTTTATTAAAAATAATTTTGAAGTTATCTGCATTCAAGTTTTGCGAAACCAGCTGCACGTCTAAAACCCGACAGTCTATATCTCTATGATCTGCGATTATTTATATAGGAAAGTCATTATTATCAACAGCATATTGTTATTTAATCTTATTGAAATCACCTTAAAACCATTCCATTTTGCAAGCCTCATTAATTATGTCTTGCAGCTTAAACTTTTATCCATATTCAGTTTCCGCATAAAGCTGTAAAGGCTGGGCTGCTGTTATATGTAACATTTGTAACACACGTACGCAATACTCATCTATGATGGAGAGCGGAATACCTTTACGGTGGAGATCAGTTAACTTAATTTAGCTCTAAATTATTACGTTTCTAAAACGTTACCACGAGCGTAGCAAAAAGCCACCCATTAGCCACCATTATAGAACAAATTCGAAGACTCGTCCATCAAGGTAGGCTTTTAGCGCCACTCCCGTACGGTGGATTGAAACAGTAAAAGTGCCCACTTTTTTGTCAACTTGTCGAACAGGTTAATCACGCATGGCCTTTCTTTTCCCGTGAATATGTTTTGAAGTAACCTTCCCCTCTACTCTCGCTCATGGACGCACTGTTGTATTTCCCTTTCCCTCCTTCAGTGCCACCAAGATGGAAAGTTGCTCCGAAGGAGAAGTCGGCGGTCGTCGGAGAAAACGTGGTGGTGGACTGCCAAGCCGAAGGTTTCCCGCCTCCACGAATCTGGTGGGAGAAGTCGTCAGGTAGAGCTCATTGTCAACTTACAGAAATTTCGTGTTGTTCCTTTTTTTTTTTTACATGCATTTTTCTTGTGTACAACACTGTAAAGCCTACTCGCGCGAGGGAGCGTTCAAATGAGCCGTCAGACCAATCCGCTGGCCCGCGCAATCAGCCTTGGTAGCCTTGCGTACGAAGTAAAAAAAAATGTATTGGTTGCCTTGAAAAGGCAAACCTGGCATGGTACAGACGCCGGTACGTTACGCCCGGTCGTTTTTTATGTTTTTTGGGGCTTTATTTTTGTTTATTTTTGTGGTGCAAAAGCGAAGACGACGAGATTATCTTCCGTTTTTTTTTCACACCACCAGCCTTGCGCTGGCTGCACGAGTGATAGCTTTGGCGCACCACCCCGCTTCCCACGCATTTCAAACCTTTCTAACATTTTCTGATTTTGTGGTTTTCGGTGACGCTCAGCAAGTTTCTAATTCAAACCACACGTTTATTTGTACTAACTAAAAAGCCAGCAAACTACCTTTATTTGATTATTCGACTTATTGTGACAATTAGCCCTCTGAGTTATGTCCCCCTGGTTGTTTTCTAAACTGACCTGAACGAACCGCATTAGTGTTGCTTTTACGGCGTTTTTATAACAAAACAGTGATGCAAAGAAAACACACCTGTATTAGCGGAGAGACGGTCGAAATGTAATTGAGATGGTGCGTATTAATCATGACGTTCACACCCTGAGACGCGAAAAGTTATTTTCAACTTCCTTCCTAGTCTCAAGTTTTAGACAGCATGAATAACATCATGATCTTGTCATGTGCCTACAGCACGTGACAAAATAGAGCCAGAAATACTGCAGAACTTAGCCGCTCTGTTTGTAAACGGGAACTATACTACAGATTTCATTGCGTCACGCACAAACAATACCTTAAAATGGGAGTTACTCGAAACTCGCAGAAGAAGACTTTGTTTGAAGTTGTTTTACAGCATTTACCATTTGACAGTTGGTATACAAGAAGACATGTATATAATGCGGCCCCACTATCAATCGGAGAGTGTTGACCATATTTTAACGATGCAAGAAGTTTCGTCCAGAACAGAGGTATTTAGGATGTCCTATTTTCCAAGAACTATCTATGAACGGAATCTATTGCCTCCGGCTGTGGTTGCTTTACTATCAAATGATGAGTTTTTCCCATGTTAGATTAAATCTAACTTGAGTTTTTTTATATTAACTTGCATTCGCTTGCATGATTTATAAGCTTAGTTTGTGTGTTTTGTTTAAAAGCTTCTATTTCCTTGTATAATTCATAAGGTTTATGTGATGTTTGAATGATTCATCTGCCGTGGAGCAGAGGTCTGACTGACACCGTATGCGTTTTCTATGTATATCCCCCTCCCCCCCCCCCCCCACGCCACTGTAATGCCTGATTTCGCGCTGTGGGTAATGCAGAAATAAATAACACCCTGTACGTTATCCGGATCCTACGTCAAACTTCAATAATAGTTTCTAATCTATACATCTCTTACCGAAGCAAAGAAATAGTGTGAACAGAAGTATAAAGATATCAAAAGCCAAGAGCTCGATTGGTCTGAAAAAACATAACGTCTCTTCTCTTATCATTTTGGCTCTTTTTTTTTTTTTTTTTTTTGCTTCCAGGGTCGAGGCCGTCTGAGTATAAGGTGATCATCAGCAACTCCCATATTCACGCCCTCGAAAACGGCTCCCTAATGGTGCGTGAAGCGGAGCGTAACGACACGGGCTTCTATTTGTGCCAAGCGAGCAACGGCGTGGGTTCGGGCATCAGCAAAGTCATCGAACTGAAAGTTCATGGTAAGCAAACTCTCCCTGCCATGGTGTTTATATTCAAGGAGATGACACCATCTCCTTGAATATAAAAACCATGCACAACTTACGTAGGAATGGAAAGCAGTTGGGAAGCTCATATAACTGTCTTGTCATTTGTAATATCAAGGATTGACTCGCACATACATTTGCTTTGTAGCGTGATATGCAATTTGTTTGTCTGCATCTTTAGACACATGTTTCAAAATGCTGTGTTCGAATGCCATGTTTTGATTTGTAATTTTATATTTATATATTGTTTTTAACGCTTTGGCATTAGAAAGCTCCTTTTGACAAAACCCCGGTGGCGTCGTTCGTTTGTCAGCGTCGGGAAACTAGAAAGAAGGAGGGGGAGAGGGTGACGCGTGGGACGCTCTAATCGGTTCGAAGCGCTGGCATCAGCAAGCGCCAACCTCTCTCCTCGGCGCTTACAAACTGACAGACACCGCCGGGTTTCCGTGAAAATTGTCGAAGTCACGTGCACAGCTGGCGCGGAGACAGAGGGGAGGAGGCCCCGCGCAACACCTCCCAGATAACAAAGCCGTAGTGGTGAATGAGATGGCGACACCAGAGAAGGCCAACGCTGCACACAGAATGGAAACGAGTGCCGCGTCAGCGCTCGGCTTCGAGTCGAGTTTGTGCCGAACGTTGATGCAATTGTCGTGTCCAATCTGTGCGCAGCGCTGATCTTCTCTTATGATGCCATGTCATTCAGCACTACGGCTTTGTTTTCTAGGATGTGTTGCGGTGGAATGCGGGCGTGCTCAGCTCCCGCTTTGCCGCCGCCGGTTGTTCTTCGGCTGGACTTTCGTAGTAGTGGTGTGTGGGCTGTGATGTGTGTGTACACAAAAATGATAGGTGTGGTTCCCTGCACTCACTAGTGATATGGATGCGGTTTCTTCCACGAGTTGTATGGATGCGGTTTTTTTCCACTAGTGATATGGATGACCGTATGATAGGCCGTCAACGTACTCTGACAAGCAGAGTACAAAAAAGGCTGAAAACAAATTACAGGTAGATTCGTTGGTGAATTCTTAGGGAATCCGCTGGCATGACCCTTGAGAAGTGTCACAGACGTCCCACTTTAGTAAACGCTAACACTGACCTCGTGACAAGGCCGAAAAGAGACAGCAAAAAAAAAAAAAAAAACATAGAGGAAGCATAACAGAAATGCGAAGGGGTCAGTGTTAGCCTTTCCCAAAGGCGGACGTGTGTAACGTTTCCAAGGGTCATGCTAATGCATTCCCTTAGAATACACCAATGGATCTTCCTGTAAGTTTATTTCAATGTCTTCATTTAGGGGCCTGGTGTCTTGCTTTGTAATGCCATAATATATTGTGCCCTTATTCTGATGTTTTTATTTCACTATAGTACTTGTTTATTTGAATCTGTTTCTAACTCGTAGGATTTAATAGTGAACAATACTATAGCTTTGATTTGCTGAATATATATTTTTAACTTTTCTTTAATTGATATAAATTCGCTTTACATTGCTTTTACATTTATATATATTTTTATGCATACTAGTTATGTTTCTATTATGCCAAATATGTCTGCTTATTTCCCTCTGTGAACCAAAGGGGGGCTAAGGCTTGGTGAGACACTTACGACTTTTTGTTGCGGAACTCTACCGCAGAACCAAATAAATAAATAAATAAAATGAAATACGTTTACAAACCTCTGTAACGCGCAACTATTGTGCAGCTCTTCAGGAGGAGGAGGGGAAGGCACGGAGGGGAGGGTGTGCCCGCCCTCCTCCCTATCCTGTCTCCTTCTATCCTCCTCCTTTCTTCCTCCTCCTCCTCTTCACTTCTCCTCTTCCTCTTCTCTGTTTCCTTTTTCCCTCCCTCCCCTTCCCTTCTTCTCCTCCTTTCCTCTTCCTCTCCTCTTTCCGCGGAATTTCTTCATAGGTGACGTGACACGAAGTCATGTGACGTCATTTTCCCCGCTAAATTTAGCGGGGAAACTGAATTGGTGTTGAGGTCAAGTTATACCAATTTGCCCGCTAAATATAGCGGGGAACCTTAACCCACTAAATTTATCGGGAAATAAACAAATACAGTTTCGCTGCCAGATTTAGCAAAAAAGCGAACGTCACGTGACCTCAACACCAATTCAATTTCCCGCAAATTTAGTGGGAGCGGTTACGCCGACGCCGACGGCGACGCTGCGAAACGCGGAAACGGACGCCTAAGAGCTGCGCTCTAAAATATATATTAGTACATACGGCCTACACAAAGTTCCCCTCAATTGTCGTATATAATGCACGTTTCGTCATTAATAATATGAGGAAATGTAAAAATGTGTAGTGAGGAATTGTAACCCAAAATATCTACATAATTTACACTGAAATTGCAGATGCGCGGGTGAATCCTTGAAAATCTCTGATCACCTAAACCTTAAGCAACGCAAGGTGTGGACAACCCCCAGCATCTCATTATCGCTGCGTCGCCAATGAGAGCGCGACATAAGCCGATAAGAATGGCGAAGAACCATTCACGAAGCAAGAAGCGTGACCACGATAGGCCAAGCCCTGCGTTTCTTGAGCTGGTAGTGTCTATGCGGAGAGCAAGTCGTCTGCTTCTCGCGCAGACGCTCTGGTGACGTCAGAGCGATGCCGAGTTCTGATTGGCTTTGATTGTAGGATAGTGGGTAGACCTCAGAGCAAGCTGCCTTGAGGTCTACCCACTATCCCACAATCCTACAAACTTGCGCTCCGCATAGCATACCAAATACATGCACACTTGTTCGTGCATGTGCTGATTCCCGAAACGTTACACAGGAAGTGTTTTTTTAGCAATATGTTTACTTTCAATATTAGCAATGTTTGCTCGAGCTTTTTTTTTTTACCTAATTCCCTCATAAAAGTTTTGTAATATTTTGGTATTCCAGTGTCGGCTCACTTCAAGAATGCTTTCAACTCGAAGACACTTCGAAAAGGAGACACGGCGCACATCAAATGTGAAGTTGTCGGAGAGAAACCCCTGACCATCGCGTGGAGCAAAAATGGTCAACCGTTTTCGTCGACAATCGATCAAAGGTGCTTCCTTCTTTGTCAGTTTAAAAACAAACATGCAGGCGTACTGTATTGAGGAAGGTTTCACCATTAGTATGATAACATTTCCAAAACAATCTTGAAGTAGCGATAATAAAATGTTGGAAAAGTTATCAAAATCAACTAGAATATGTAAATATTGAATTCGGCCCTATTATCCCACGATAAATATAGACGACTTTCAAATTAGAAACTCCCGCCTGATCAGTGGCAACTATCAAATGAATTTTACTATTTTAAAACTGAGTGTTTTCTTTTTCCTTTTTGGAGAAGTCGAAACATTGCAAGACTGTATCTATTTTTTGGTAAATGCTTTTGTAATCGATTTGTAGAAGTGAAAATATCATCAGTCAGATTGCACGACACACATAAGGTACGCTGTTGTTTTCCTTGTTTAACGCATTCTTAATTTGTGAAAAGTGTTTAGGTAACTGTGAATGTGCAATTTGCCTCGAATTAGTGACTTGACAGTAAATGTGTTATTTGTGCATTTGTGAGGGCTGACATTGCTGTCTCTACACTTCACTTCCTGCTTCAAATTTCTATTTGACTCTTTTTTGTGCCGTACTTTTTTATAATATATATTTGTGTGTGTGTGTGTGTTTGTGTGTATGTGCGTGCGTGCGTGCGTGCGTGCGTGTGTGTGTGCGTGCGTGCGTGCGTGCGTGCGGGCGCGGGCGCGTTTTAAGAACGTTTTCGATTATTTAATTCATTGGCGAGTTAAGGCTCCCACCTCAAAAACAAACTTTATTTTCGCACATATTTAATTTGTTCCTTTCTCCTCGACGTGTTGAAGGCCTCGACAGAAAAACGAATTAAATGTAGACTGTGGTTTTTAACTTAAACTTGTTTTGTCAAAGCATTCACGTGGAAACTCCTCTCTAGCTAGGTTCTTCAACAGCAGGCTGTTGCGTTATTCTTGCTCAAGGTACGACATCAAGTCGACAGAGTCCGAGGAAAGCCTGCTGTCTCAGCTCGAGATCCACGCTGTGGACAGGAGGGACTCGGCGCTCTTCTCTTGTCTCGGGACCAACAAGTACGGCCAAGACGAAACGAGAACTCAGCTCATTGTTCAAGGTACGCTCGATAGACCAGTCATATAAACAACGATTTACTGCCTTGGCGAAATATTTTGCCATCACCAACCAAATTCAACTTTAAAAAAAGCCTAAAATGAGTTGCATTTGTTTAAGTACCTGTTAACAACTCCTAGATAACGCGAATCTTTTTTTAACCAGCTGAAATATGACTACATATATATCTTCTGTCACTGCTCTTTCACCTTTTTCTTTTTAAAATATAGCTGGACAGTTTTATCTGCATGATCAGCATAAACATTACCATTAGAGTTTTTTGGTTCTGTTTTGTACATTGCCGGCGTATGAACCTGCTTAAGGAATGGTAGGGTAAACCAACCAAAAACCGATTTTTCGGTTTTAGTGTCATAAAAGGATATGCAGTCAGAGGAAACGAAAAATCTGGTGGCGGCGAGAGCGAACGAGCGCTCAAAGCCATTTAGATATGGCGCCGAAATTCGCGACCCCTGCTATTTAAAATAAGTAGATGCACGTTTTTGTTTATATTATTTTTATTAACACCTTTCAGGCCCTACCATATGAAAAGTGAGAAACGACGCCGAAGAGAGAGGGACACAATAGAAGGCTTTGGGAATAATAAATAGAAAGCCGAAAAATGGCATGTATTCTGATGGATCTTTTTAAGCCTTTGTAAGAAATATAAAAATATTTTTTTTTTAATTTTTACATTTTTTTAACTTTGATGTACGTTTGCTAAAAAAAAATAGTTATCGAATTGCACCAAACACCTTAAAGCATATAGTAAAATAGCGTGTCGACGGTTTCAACTTAAAAGTTTCAAAAAAATACTTTATTATAATGTTTATAAAAATTAAATAAAAAGATTTCCTGATAATAAGGAGAGAAACAAATATTTTTTTTTCTTGCATGCTGCATCTTCAAATTTATTTTTCTTAGATTCAGTTTAAAGCTAGTAACATGTAAAATATACCTGCCAAATTAAAAATGCAGCATGTCTTTTGTTGTGGAGAAAAGTCATATCAAAAGCTGAAACTCAGCCTAAGATTTTACACGCAGTAATAAAAAAAATGTTTAAAAAGGTTTCTACAAAAAAGCAGCAGAAAGTTAATCCCAAGTGTGTAACCATTCAGTACATAAACTTCTATAATAAAATGTGCAGGCGATGTTATATACAAAATTAAAACCTAAATGGCCCGTTTAACCTACCATCCCCTCTAAAGTTCAAAGTCATTGTTGCACAGTGAGAGTCTGAAACTGTGTCACTGTATTTCTATGAATTGTATTCCTGGCCTCCCATTTGCCACAGTTCTGGAAATAGTTGCGGAGATACAATTTTCACTGCATTGTCGAATGTATGCCAAATAATGCAAGCCTAGCGACAACAATAAATGCACAACACGAGGTATTTTAGTCAAACGTTTCTCTATCAACTGTAGTCATCTACGTTCAACTTTCACAATTCATGGAAATTTTGAATAAATTAACCGAAGAAAGAGTCAATGGTAGGGATTAGCTCTTCGCTACTCACAACCCGAAAGCAAAGTGCGGAGCAAATAAATTATGAATTCATCGTTTTATTGGTATAACGCTTCTCAAAGTAGTCGGATTCTTTTATTATATTACGGTTACTGGTATGACACAAGCACACGGTTTTATGACAACAAATGAACATATAATATATAACGAACTAAATATGAGCAGTGATGTTTCGATTATCAGTATGTAAGTATGATATGAAGAGTTGTTACGGAATCGGATTAGCACCAATTCGTAACAAAAGCACCGATTTACAACAAGGTGCGCGAACACCGCTACATAATCATTATTTTATAAAAACCAATAACACTCTCGGTGTAAATTAATTACAGTCACCTGATGTTCACAAGTTTGAGCTTGCTGGTTTCATTAAGTTATTAAGGGTATAAGGAGCGAATATTTGAATGCTTTAGGTTTCCAGATAATCGGTTGTACTTCACACAGTTTTCTAATGTGATCCAATCACTCGAAGTTTTATATCTAATCACTAGCATCCTACCATCGATGTACAGCCGCACATTAACAGATAAGAACGCCGAGATCGATTCACAATGCGAGAGGCATGAACATAATCAACCATGCCTTGCGTTATTTTTTTTTCCTTTTTTTTAACAGGGAGTGACTCCAGAAGACTTCGTGGAAGTACCGAGATATGAATATAACCTTAATACTAATTGTAACATATAAAGTCAATCCACGTTATACCTTTTTTTTTTTTTTCAAAACAGTACAGACTCCAGTAACTGCTGCGTCGATAATCCGATGGCACCATATTTGGGGAAAGCACTTCGAGTGTCTACTGAACGGGAGTTCTGTGTCAGCGTTCGACGTGTACTAGGGATGTCCAATCACACTGTTCGTGCAGAAAGGGGTGCCCAAAATATGACAGCGTTCAGCCTTGCTTTTTGATTTTTTGGACGGGATCTATTGATCCCTCTATTTGTTATTTTTTAAAACTTCCTAGGTTAGGCTTATAGCAATTTTTAAAAATCAGGTTTTATGTAGTTTGGTATTAGATGCCGGCATAATTTGGGCAAACGCTTCAAGCGTAGCACATTAGACGAGAGCGCTACGCCAGCATACGGCGCGTATTCGGGTCTAAATTTATTCTGCACGAGCGCTGACGTCAGAATATGTTCTTGTCAGGGTCCAATCACATGGTTCACTTAGAAAGCTCCGCCCAAACTATGGCGGCCTCCAGTGTTGCCTCATAAACATTTTAATATCGTACACTGCTTTATTTCTCAAATAAGTTAAGAGAGGAGCGCACTTAAAAAAAACGGGTTTTATGTAGCTTGGTAATAAAATGTACGTGTGGTTTTGCCTTCGTGTTCGTCGTATCAATTAGGACAAACTCCATATGCAAAGCGTCGTCATTAGCTGCGCTATCTGCTCGCTCCACGAACGAGGACCGCGCGTAATTGCAGAACCTCCGGGAGCGCCGTTCAACGTCCGGACGTCGGGAATCACCAGCCGGTCCATGTCCGTCTCCTGGGATCAGCCGTACACCGGAAACAGCCCCATCTCGGCGTACAAAGTACAAGTCAAAACGTCCAATGGTAAATAAAAACAAATATATATATAATTGCCATTTTTAATGAGCCGCTTCAGCATTAAGCGGTTGTGTTATGTATACCATAGTTTGAATTCGTAAATATTTTATGAAGTGGAATGGTTATTCTGTCGGTCTATCGATCATGATCGATTGGAGCATGGCGGGTGCTGCTTGAAAGCTATGTATGTGACAACCGTAAACGAAACACAGAAAATGCTTGGTAATTTTACAGGCCTTAATGTCGTGGTGATATTTTTGTTATGTTTTATACGCTAAAACGTGAGGAAACCGACGGACATGACAACAAGAATCTCCAAAAGGTTCGTGTTATTATGTCCTTCGGCTTTGCCACTCTTCAGGGTTAAAAATGTCAGTTCTTAACCAGCTCACCTGCACCCTAGGGTGTCCTCGGTGGACCCGGCAGTGGTCCTCCGGGTATAGGATGCGGCAGCGGAGGTGACTCCGCCGGTGACCCAATTTGAGCCGCTGATCTCGGCTAATTGTGTCGGCGTGATGGTCCAGATGGTGCTTACCAGCTGTAGTGGTCAAATCCCGTGTCACCTTCTCAAACCATCAAACGGACATCTGAAGCTCGATTAGTGATAGGGCCGAAAAGCAAAGGCTGCGGGACAGCGGCGAACTTGGAAGCATTCCAATCCCGCCCATCTTCGAGTCTGAATCTCCAGTGACCCACACGTTCTAATATTCGAAGAGGGCTGCCGAACGCCGCCGACACTTTTCGAATGTGCCCTGGCTTCTTCACTTGAACCAGCTCTCCGACTTTGAACTTGGGAGTTTTTTGCTCGTCTCATCTTGTCTTTGGACTCGCTGTCAAAGTCGCTGAACCTCTTCGAAGGGGTTGCGAAGGACTTTGGGCGACGACAGCCCTAAAATGTTTAGTCGATTCCGGGGCTTGCGACCCTGGAGAAGCAGTGCGGGGGACAGTCCAGTTGTGGCATGAGGCGTGCATTTCTAGATGCCTAGGTAGTCCACTACCGCTGATCTAATTTTTCGTCTTTCTCCAGATGCGCACTGGATGTGGCCCTTAAGTGTTTTATTAAACCTTTCAACTTGTCCGTTGGCTTGCGAGTAATATATGGAAATCAAGTGGCGCTTGATTCCACGAGATCCTAGGAAGTTTTCGAACTTTTTGTAAATAAACTGTGGGCCGTTGTCGGTAACAAAGCTTTCTGGCAAAGTCTATCTTAAGAATACAGATGCAAAAACACTGAGACTCTTGTGTATCACGTCGGCACAGAATTGTGCTTCAGGCCTTTTGGAAAAGTAGTTCACTATAGTTATGCCGTAGCGGCATCAAAGCTCTACACGCTCGAAAGGTCCCAGAATGTCCATTCTAACCTTATATCATGGTCGATCGGGGTAAGATACTGGTTAAAGCGGAGTCGCGAAGGTCTTCGCACTTTTTTTAGATGCTTGACAAATGTTGCAGGCGTGGATGGCCTGCTTCACTCGATCGCTTATTTTTGGCCACCAGTAGGGTTCGCGGACTGTTGTGCGGGTTTTCACGATACCAGGATGCCACCCATGCGCCTCGGTGGTGAGAGGACCTTGAAGCTCTCGGAGTATCAAATATTTCATCGCGCAAAGGAAGCCGTCGTCACCGGCAAGATCGTCCTTCAGGCCGTAGAATGATATTACGTCAGATGACAATGTTCGTCTTGGGAGTTACGACACTCAAAAAGACTGTATCCTTGGTTGTGGCCTTTTGCAGTTGAAGCTTTGTTATACATTAGTTTTGCAATGCGATTTCAAAAATTATCCCGTCCTGAAATTCAGTATTGCCTTCATCTTCTGGCAGAGGAAGGCGAGAAAGCGCGTCAACAACTTTGGTTTTCGGTTCTGAGTTGGAACTTGACTTTAAAGTTGTACCGGCGAAGGCGTGTCGACCATTTTTTCATTCGGAGTGGTCAATGACCGGTTCCACGTGTTTCCAACAGCTTCACCAGGGCTGGTGGCCAGTTTGAAGCTTGAAATGCCGGCCCCACAGGAAGTTGTGCCACCATTCGCAAGCTCAAAGTCACGCGAGCGTTTCTCTTTCGCCCACTGAGTATTTTCGCTCTGCAGTTGATAGCGTGCGAGAGGCGAAAACGAATGTTTGGATTCTCTTCCCATTGCGCTGTTGAAGTAGGGCGCCGAGTCCGTAGCCAGATGCGTCCGTCGAGACAATTATGAGAAGGTTAGGATCAAACATCTTCAAAATCTGTGCTGACGACAGCAGACATTTATCTTCCTGAAGCGGGTGTTCGCTTCGGCATCCCATATAAAAGGAATGTCCTTCCGCAAGAACGTTAGCATGGGCTCGACTGCTGCTGCAAGACGAGGGACAAAACGGATATAGTATTCTACCATCCCTGAGAATGATCTTAGTTGTGCAATGTCCATCGGTATAGGAGTCGCGTTGATGACGTCCAGATTTTGTTTAAGTGGAGCGATTGCTCTTCCGCTGACGTGATGGCTCAGAAAGGAGAGTTCCGGCACATCAAGAACACATTTGTGTTTTAGTTTCAGTCCAGCCTGAGTGATACATTGCAGAACATGGCACATTCGCTCTAAGTGCTCTTTTCTGGACTTTTCAAAGACGATGCCGTCAACATTATAAAAGAGAACTTTTTTTACATCCTTCTAGAATTTCTGCCATCATCTCTTGCAATATTTCTGGTGTGGACGCGACGCCGACACAAACACGCTGGAAGCGGAATACGCTTTTGTGTGTTGTAAACGCTGTTATGTCTCGACTCTCAAAATGAAGGGTGACTTGGTGGTATGCTGACGCCAAAAGTCCAATTTCAAGAAGCACTTTGTCCCGTGTAGCGCATTCACGAGCTCCTCGATGTGAGGCAAAGGATAGGTGTCAATAACGTCAGCCTTCTTAGCTTCCCTGACGTCTGCAGACATCCGGATTGACCCCACTTTCTTTTGAGCTACAACAATAGGTGAAACCCATTCGGATGCGTTCATGGGTTCAATTACTCCTGCTGCTTCAAGCGCTCTTAATTTCTTTCGTGACAGGTGTTTCTGCCATTAATGGGATGTGGCGCATTTCGTGCTGCACGTGCTGTACTGAGTTCAGAATATTCACCTTGTGAGTGTAGCCTTTGTCATGGCCCAGCTCAGGGCTGAAGAAATGACCGAAGTCGTTCAAGAACGTCGGAAAAACCTGTCAATGTGGCGAAAGTTTTGTCGTGTTGGAATTGGAAGCTACCGGCGTCAAAACGTTCGAAAAATACAAAACCTGTTCAGGTCGCATGCAGCTTGTGTAGTTTCTGATGACTCGTCCCCCTCTGAGACTTGTGTAGGCGGTGTTGAATGCAGCGTCGACGGCTCCTCGTGCTGTTGAGGAGTGCTCGTAGAGCTGTGACCCGAAGAGGATGAGGCTATGTCCATGCCAATCAAAACTATTTTGGGTAGGTTTGTACTCATTCCTCGGCCTCCGTGTACAAAACGCTCCCTATGGCCCCTTGAATTTGTAGATCCAAGACTTTCACGGCGTCCATTTCCAACAACGACGTTCCAGTATTCACAATGGAAAAGTGAATTTTCACTGAACGTGTCTTAAACTGCTCTGACGCGGAGACGGCTCCCAGTACCTCGATACGTTGCCAGGAATAATTGAGTAGGGTCCTCGGCAGTGGGATAATCTTGGCATCACTGCTGAAGTACTGTTGAAAAATGTCGTCTTCGATGATAGGCACTGAGGAACCTGAATCCAGGTGGAACTGCAAATGCCCACCGTACATTATGACGCTGATATATATTTCCATCCGGGAAGGCGAAGACACGTGGAGAACTGCTTGTTCGTCTTCTGAGATCTCCAAAATTTGGAAACGGTTCTGGTGGCGTAAGGGCTTAAATGTGCTGCGGCACATGCGGTGGAAATGCCTGAATCGGCCGTAGCTGGTACACGTTTTTTCTCGTTCCGGACAGGTGTAATTGCTTTGACAGTGCTCAATACCGTACCCGCTGTTTGCGCATTTTTTATTGTCGCGATAGTTCGTCTCGCGGCGCATGGGCGTTTGTGTTTGAAAGGCACAGTGATTTTTTTCTAACGCCTTTGAATGAATCGAGCACTGGTCATGGCATTTCAGAGCGCAGTGTGTCGATCTTGTTGACGTAGGTGGAGCGTACTCACTTTACGCTTGGTGAAACGGTGAACTCTGCCGCGTACTGCGCCGAGGTAGAATTCTGTGAATGCTTGAATGACAGTTTTTCGAGTGCGCTAAACGTCGACAAACGAGGTAGAATGTTCCGTCCCTACGGCTGACGGGAGGACGAAGTTCCACACGGAAACCGTCGGTAATGGTCGACCTTGTGAACGTCGTGGGCGACGTGGCATGTCCATTGCTGTTCTGTGGCCGTGGTCAGCTCCTTGGCCTCTGCCTTGGTCCTTTCGGTGTTGAGGACGAGTTGAACAGCTTGGTCAAAGGGAAGAATGCTGCCCAGGAGTAGCCGTTCTCGAACTTGAGTTGACAGCACTCCAGCTCTGAACTGCTCTCAGATGTTCTCGTCCTGCTGAGGATCGAAGTTTGCCAGAACTGCCAATACTCGGAGATCAGTCAAGTAGTTTGACATGGACTCTTCCGGACGTTGGTAGCGTCGGTGAAATCGTTGGCGCTCAAGGCTGTTGTTGCACGACCTTCGTAAGTGTGCGCTGAGGGAATCCACAGCCTTTTGGTATCAGTATTTTCTTGTCGGTGTAGCGACGACTGAAGAACTGGCAGGAGAACTGGCTGCCGCTGACGTCGTTGTTTCCGACGGCACAGCGACAGCACTGGAGGAAGGCAGGATGTCGAAGACCCGTCGTCCCTCCAATCCCAGGCAGGGTCGGAGCAGGTATCCGCGGCGTTCCGAGGGCAGTTGAAGGGCACCAGCACTCGAAGAGCGAAGTGCATTGCTCCCACGGGATTTGCGGGGCCCCTGGTTTGCTCAGAAACTCTGGAGGTGGTTTGATGCCAAATCCGTCGGTCATCTTGGTCGCCAAAAAGGTCTGGGGTGTCCTCGGTGGACCCGGCAGGTCGGGAATGTGCGACTGAACGCTGCGGTGGCCAATACCAGAAAGAGAGAGAGAGGTTTTATTATTGAGTAAGAATGACGAGAAAGAAAGGAGGGAACTTAAAATAAAAGAAGAGGAAGTACTAATAAAATCACCAGTCAGGATACAAACCACACCCTTGCATTAAGTTCATTTTTTAAAATTGTTTAGGTTGCACATGTCAAAATCATCTTTTCACTAACTTATTTTTGTAAATTTGCAATATATATATATATTCCAAAGTCACAAAAATAATTGAGTAAAAAGATGATTTTGATATGTGCAACCTAAACAACTTTATATATATATATATATATATATACAACGGACATGGTGGAATGTCCCCCGCCACCATGCTGTACATGGTGGCGGGGGACCGAAGGCGTGGGTATAACTAAGAAGAAAAGAAAACTCTTGGTAAAAACAGTAACAACGTCCGGTTTATTCTTCAACGTTAAAGCCGGAGTCCGGCCTTGGTCAGGAAGACGTCTTCCTGACGAAGGCCGGACTCCGGCCGAAACGTCGAAGAATAAACCGTCCGTTGTTGCTGTTTTCACCAAGGGTTTTCTTTTCGTCTCAGTTATATATATATATATATAGAAAGAGAGAGAGAGAGAGAGAGAGAAAGATAGTTGGTGGCGGTGGAATCAAACCGGGAGGATTTTATTCGACGTTTTGATAAAATCCTCCGCGTTTGTTTTCCACTGTTACCCTGCATCTCTGTCTTTTACGCCTTCGGCCTCCGAGAAAACTTGTCCCTTTCACACACACACACACGCACAACACACACACAGACACACACACACATATATGTGTATGTGTGTGTGTGTGTGTGCGATGGCTTAAAATATATTTGAAAGTTCATTAGCCATTATAATTTTGGCCAGCCATGCTGAAACCAGAACTACACAGTAACATCGGCGTGAAAGCTGGCGCAAAAAGCAAGAGAGATCATTACATATTTGACGTGAAAAATTAGAGCGTGCTGGAAAATTTAGAGGAATAAAGGAAAGCAACATGAATGGCGCAAAGGACGTGAATAGGACAAAACAAATGGGAAGATATTGTGCCATCGCACCTGGTATTCGAGCACTAGCATGTATTCTCAAATTCAACACCAACTCGCCCACAAATCAGCATTGCTAAATGGCACGATTTAGTGTTCATTTTCATTTGATTAACATATTTTTGGAAACATATGACATGATTTCATCATAGACGCACATCGGGAATGGTTTACCGGAACTCATGAATATCAAACGAGCGTAAAACAATGTCACTGCATAGAAAAAACCTTTCCTGGTCAGTTTGTATAATAAACGTGGAGCTTTGGAGTTTGTGCGTTGGTTTAACAAAACATGCATTTCCTCCTCAACTCACCAGGGAAGTAAAACGCGAAAATGTATATTGCTTTGAAAATTCGACCTTGGACTTTCGATTTGTATTGAACGGGAGATACTCCCCAAGGGTTGGAAAGTTTAGCTAGACTTTATGCATTGTACACAATTTGTGGCTGAGGCCAAGCTGCGTTATGTTTTATTATTGATGATGCCATATCCATACTTTTTTTTAGCTTAGTACCTAAGTGGGGTTACCTGCGAATTCTACAGGGTTGTCCACACAAGCCATACCTTCAGTGTTAAAATGGTTTTACAATGTCCACCACATGTTTTTCTCGTGTTTCAGTTAAGTGGAAAGAAGATATCCAAGAAAACGTGGTACAAGGAACGCTTACGACGTTAGCGCTGCGAGGACTTCGACCCGTGACAACCTACATCGTTCGCATCCGGGCCGAAAATAGCCTGGGTCCCGGCGAGTTTAGCCAAGAGATTCAGGTCACGACCGACGAAGAGGGTAAGTTTGAATGGAGTGCGAGGCAAAGCGAGTTTACTCACTCAGGATTTGAGACATCGTAGAAGTGAAGGCGGCGACATGAATACGTTAAATACTGACTCACAATCTGGATTACTCAAGCAATTTTCTTAAAATTACAAAAAAAAAAAAAAAACGCGACATACCCGGGAAGGAAAAAGCGAGATGTTTATTTTGAGTGTTGTTCTGGACACGCGAACTTGGACATGCAGTGAATAGTTTCTTAGCCAGTACGAAGTTTGAGTTTTATATCTATTTAAGTGTTTCTGAATATTATCAACTTTATTTTACACTTCGTTTAACCATGTTGAATTAACCTGATACTGGGGTTCAAAAAAGACATCAAAATGTAGAAGGGCCAAAAAATAAACAGGACGACGTCTCAAGCTCAGCTAGCTAATTCATTTGGTCCACCTCCTTATATAGTCTCAAACTCAAGGTCACCACCACCAACACAGAAGGACGACGTCTGTACAGTTCAATGGCCACAGTTTCGTTTGTCCGCTAAAATTCAACGGTTTCACCTTTTGTTTTGATATTTTTTAGCAGTTTTTATGATTAAATCGTTAGACGAAAAAAAAAAATTTTTTTTTTTTTTTATCAGATGGGCTTAAACCACATTTTTTCTGGATATTTCTTTATCGTTTTCCCTTTTGTTACTTTTCCTTGTTGTTGTTTTTTTTTTTGTCAAGAACATTTAACATTATTAAAACACTAGTTTGCTTATATCATATTTCCTTCTCTGTTTCTTTAGAACTCTCCTAAGCAATATGTCGGTTAAATCTCCTACGGTAATATTTTTCCGCAAGCTCCACTATGATCGATTGCACTTTATATTAGTCAGTAGGTTAACACAGAAAGATTTCAATAGCAAGCATTAAATACAAGTCTCTAGCATTGTATTGCAGAACGAGCTTTGATCGCAGTCATCAGTGCTTGTTGCTAGAAACGCAAACCAACTTTATAAGGATGACTGCCAAGAGCCGCAAGGTGTTTCAAAAGGCGGTGCAGCTTCTTCTCACAAATACAGACGCATCGCTATGAAGAGACTGTCACAAAAAGATTTTTTTGTTAACCTAAATATTGTAGATTTTAATACTACAGAATTCCCAATCAACAATCTCTATACTCTGAAGTTCTTTTAGGCTGTTGTTCTAGATTTGTATGAAGTTCCAGAATCCCGTATTTTATTTAATTTAAAGCTACATGTATCCAGACAGAGACAATACAAGGGCACCGCTGGACACGGTTAACCGGGACACAACATTGGCGCCATTCCGCATTTTACTAAGAAAAGGTAGCTATGAGCCCGGCATTTTACTGCTTAGGTCACTTAATCTGCAGCACACGCGCCAGATGAGTCGTAAGCCTAAAAATATCAATTCTTTCTACGTGAAAAACAGAAAAAGCTGGCGTGATTTGTGCTAAACGTATTGCGCTGTGTACACTTGTCCGTGAACATTAAAATATGTGCACTTATTTGAAAATTCTATTTTTTTTTAATTATTATAAATTACGAATTGATTTCTAGATATAAATGGTGTACGTTTTTGTTTCGAACCTGTTTGTTTACAATCCCCGTTTCACACTCTTTCTAAAAATGAGTTAAGAGAGTTTCGTATTTATTTACTCCATCCTGTCCTTCTAGCACCCGAGGGCCCACCATTGAATGTTCAGGCAACTGCCGTGTCATCATCTTCTGTCAAAGTCACTTGGCTGGTAAGAAACAAACTTAGAGTATCGTGTCGTGGTCTCAATTACACGCATTTTTGGAAATTGTTATATATTACGGTTTACAGCGATCAACATAAAGTAGAAATAGTTAGCGTCTGTAGTGTACGAGTAATGTACAGTGAAAAGACTGTAAATGTGCAAGCAGGCTGGTAGAAGCTAATCATGTCGTTTAACACCTGAGACTGTGGTGCAGAAAAGGAAAAACTTCTAGTCCAAGGAACAGACACAGAGACGTTTCCTTCTGTGTCTTCGCCTTCGACTAGGCGTTTTTGCTTCCGCACCACAGTCTCATGTGCTAAAGGATATGATGAGCAATATACATTGGTAGAGAAGACAAAACGAACGAGGAAATGCCGATGACAACAAAAAGAAGAAGAAGAAAATAGATGAATCATTAGGAACAAAAGGGACAGGTATCCATGGTCCTTTTGCTAAATAAACGAATGCCGCCAAGCGTTTGGCGCATGCGTGAGGTCGCCATAAGTTTGGTTCACAATTCCTGCAATGTTCGGGCCATAGTAACCTCCTATATACTGACAAAGCCTGGCAGATTGCCCCGAGAAGCGGCCGCCAAAATGAAAAAGGTGAAGCAGCTGACAACGGATGAGAAAAGAGCCACGTGATTGGCGCTCCGCTGCGGCGAGACGCCGAAACACACTTCTCCCCAGCTAACAAGTATGTCTCGGGTCCTCGCCGCTGCAAAAGCAGTGCGCTGATGTCCAGGTTCCCCGAGAAATAGCTCTTTGACTGGCTTAAAACGAAAGAAACACTCAAGAGGACGAAACAGACTACACAGCTTTCTGTGTGTTTCTTTCGTTTTAAGTCAATGTAGATCCCCAACACGCTCAAGTCTTTAAGCTCTTTGATGTTCTACACTACCAGATCCTCGCGCTCCAAACCTGCGACCTGGCACTCTAGGGCTCTGTCGTCTAAGAGCCAGGCTTTGTGAGTATAGAGGAGGCTATGTTCGGGCACGTGCAGAAACACAAAAGTTATGTTTTTTTTTAAATTTATTTTCAAAAGAAAAGCTGCAGCTCCCTTGATGCATTACGGCAGCGGTAACGTAGTCAAATGGGTTGCTGAGATTGGTCTATTACCGAGGCACATAGGAGCACGCTCTAAGTGCAGTTACACGGCTTGCACGTTCTGGTGTCTGCACAAGTAACTGTTCTAAAGCAAAAACCTAAAGCACGCGCGTTCGTCAACGCCTTACATTGGATATTTACTTCGAATCTTTTAGTTTTATACCGGGAAGGAGAGCGCGTGCAACACGTTTACGTACATTTCCCGCATTTTCATTGATGCTTAGGTAAATTAGCAATAGGTCTATAGAATCTAGTTTTTACTAGTATATAAAAACATTAAAAAAATATTGCCGTAGCTTATACCCAGCGCTACGTACTTCTTACAAGGTTTATCACAAGAAAAATTAACACTCATTTTTGTTTCTAATTTTGTCATTTTAATAAAATTAGAATTAGCTAAACTTGAACGCACATTTTGAGAGTTCTAATTAACAACTTAAAGTTTTAAATGAGTCTCACACTTAGGGAAGCCCGATATTTTTTTACGGGGGTTCTCGAGGTCGAATGAAGTATAGTGTCCGGTAATTTAGGTAAATGGTCAGCTAGAGAGAAACAGTTTCTCTGTCTGTGTTTTGTCCCTATCGTTCTGGCTGACCATTTACCTAAATTATGTACCAACTAGCTCAACTTCAGCCTATTATAGTGTCCGTTTTATAAATACTGTAAAACCCTTAATGGTTCACGAGCCCTTAATTTTCGCGAATATCGCGAATTGAAAAATTCGCGAAACTTAAAGGCATGCGAAAATTTCGGTCATCAAGAATTTCAATGCCGGTATCTGGAATTCGCGAACTTTAGGGGCCGCGATATGTCCTCTGTGACCAATTCGCGAAAAATAGGGGCCCCGAAAATAAAGGGTCTTACAGTAGTCGGTAGATAAGTAAAAAAAAAACGTGATTATAGAGATGAAAGAAAACATTTTAGGCGAGGAAACAAGGGTCGTTACGAAAGTAAATGGTGCAATGACAGCTTGACAGGTAGACGTAATGAATAGTTATTGAACATGCAAGCTCAAAGATATTTAGAAGGTATTTAAACTTTTAGACGGTAAAAAATGAGGCAGTAGATGGTCGATTGGTTCATTACAGTGAAGGAACATCGACTGTGATGGCATTTTACTGGACTCTTAGAATCAGCAGTTTGTCAACCACGACATTCGCGAGCCTCTCTCGCATGAGCACCTCTTCTTCTTTCTTCCTAACAGTATAAAAGACGCAAAAAAAGAAGACAAGAAAAAAAGATTCCATCAAATTAATGTAAAATTAAGCTACCCAGATGAAAAAGAGTTTTGTGAAATGAAAACCTGAATTGCTAGTTTGAAGCCACAAATATCGAGAAAAAACATTTGAGCAGCTCGACGTGCAGCGAAGTTTTGTACCTATTTTCTGTTGAAAGTGGTTAGGAAAAATAATTAAGAATTAAAATTACCCTTGTCTGGTGCTACAGTAGTATAGCAGACTTAAAGTAAATATAATATAAATGAAGAAGGTAAGATTACCAACTAAAAATAATACTAGTTTAAAGCAAATTAGAAGATAAATATATAGCTTTTGAGAACTCAGCTATACAGTAGGAGTTAGAGCTGATTAGTGGAACATCTCGCTAAACTTGAAAGAAACCCTAAGATGCCTAACTGCCTACGAGACGTTCGTTGCCAGTGGTAGAAGCAATAGTTACGATCACTATGGCACTTAGTTTGTATATTTTTATAAAACCCCTAGCTGTCAAAGCCCCTTTTTTTTTTTTTGGTAATTGAAAGGATGTGACGGTCACATGCACGCAAGCTTGCGGTACTGAGATTGTGAGTTCATTATTGCTGCGAAGGCTTGCAGAGTGTTACCATATCTTCCATCATCACCGCATTCGTTTACTACGCTATCTCATCACTATATCTTTATTCCTCTTCCACCTAACCCAATTGCAGAGTAGTTGACCAGGTCAAACGTCCATGCTAAAATCTTTGTCTTCCTGTCACGAATACTAATCTCTAAATGACGTTGCAAAACACATACAGAACCGGCATCGTAAAGCTAACGGTAACAAAAGCTCGAGGGCTCGCTGGCTTGCTCATATATTTTCTTAAAAATAAAACAATCAAGCCCTTAATGTTCCTACCGAGGAGACGCTTGTTGTTGCCGTATTATTTGATGTGGCCGCCGTCGTCTCAGGCCCCGAAGAGAGACCAGCAGAACGGGCTGCTCAAGGGCTACTATGTGGGCTACCGGCAGCATGGCTCGTCGGACTCGTACACCTACAAGACGCTCGAGATCGCGGGCAACTTCAAGGAGGAAGCCCTGCTCACGTCCCTCGCGCGCTCCACCAAGTACACGGTGCTCGTGCAGGCCTTCAACGACAAGGGCTCCGGCCCGCCGTCTGAGGAAATCAGCCTGGAAACCTTCGAAAGCGGTGAGCGGATCGTATGGGAGCTCGCGAAGAATCCACACAAATGCTGGCGTACGAGGTGTGATCGGATGAAAACTGTTTGTGCTGCATCACGTACACCGGCACGAGAGAAGCCCTACGATCTAAACTTATTTTTTATAAGCGCAAAAGAAAGTTAAAACAAGCCATCTATTTTTTTTTTTCGCGTGTCTGGGTTTTGTGTTGGACACCATTGACAACATGAGGCTGCTGTGATGGGGAATCCGTCTAAGGGAGGGTCAGTGGGAGTTATGGATCACTTGCTTAGAGCGGCGTTTCGCGATGTCTGGTGGCGTTTCTAATGGGGAAGAAAATCTAAACGAACGTAATTCTGGGTTTACTGTTATGGTCAAAGCGCGTATACTGGCTGCACCAAATAAAAGACACACTCAAACTCTGCTTTTGTGCCTCTGTAAGCTATGTTAACAGAGCGGTAATGACAGACGCGCGTTTTTACTGGCTTCCTGTCAAAATCTCAGCAGTGGTGGAACACAAAAGCCAAATTACTCTGTTACATTTTCTGAGCGCAGCTTTAAATTTAAATGTATGTAACACGAAAAAAACACACTTGACTTTAGGGATCTGGTGCCTACCTTCCTCGTTCGTGCTCGTGTAGTCAACACGCCTGTTGATAATGCAATTAATGCAGAGATACAACCGAGCTGGACGAGAATAACGATAATGATCCCTAAAGAAAGGGAACAAGGGAACAAAGGACAGGCACAAATCTTGAAACACAGTTAGGTGACTTGTGCGCAAATGCAAAAAACCGCCTGGTTCTGGTATCGAACCAGTTTTCTGTACTTACATCTAACTCGTCGCGCACCAGTCACCTAGCTGTATTTGGAGATGTCCTTTGTCCCTCTTTTACCCCTTCTCCAGGAATTGTTATCGTTATTCGAAGTGACTCCTTTTTCTAGAGCGAGTTGAGCAGCGAATTTCTTCGCCTGTCTTAGCCCTTCATGCGAGCGTCTGCCGACGTTAAAAGCTGCCAATGCTTTTATTTTTTTTTTAACGTAAGACGGATTTTTATTAGTTACTTCGCATTTCCTTAAGTCAGATTTCGTGAAGTCGTGGCCTGTGACGTCATATGAGTTGAGTTTCCCCGCTAGATATAGCGGGAAAATTGACGTCACGTGACATACACATAAATTCAGTTTACCCGTAAATGTAGCGGGAAAATTTACGCCACGTTTCCTCACCACGAATTCAGTTTCCCCGCTAAATTTAGCGGGAAAAACACATTACGTGACCTTAACGCCGATTTAGTTTCCCCGCTTAACGGGAAAGATGATGTCACATAACTTCATGTCACGTGACCTATGCAATATTTTCTCGCTAAATTCAGCGGGGAATTGACGTCATGTGACCTGATGTGTCGTGAAGCTAAAACGTTCCACATATGTAACACAATTGACTAGCAATTCGCCATACAATTTTAGTGCGATGGCATTATTAAGCTACTACTCAAGATTTTCAGCTGATATGGTTATCCTGTTTCCTGGCCCCGAAAAAGGCTTCTCCGCTAAATTTAGCGGAGCAACTGACGTCACGAAAACAGCTTTGCCACTAAATTTAGCGAAAAAATTGACGTTACAACCTATGCACCAATTTAGTTTCCCCGACAAATTTAGCTCGAAAACTGACGTCACAAAACGTTTTCCCGCTGAATTTAAGAAAACAATTGACGTCGCTGGTCACTGACTATACATCACTTTATTTTTCCTGCTAAATTTAGCGGGGAAATTAATGTCCCGACCAATGCACCAATTCAGGTTCGCTGCAATTCAGGATCGCAAATGAAACCACTTATATTTGGTCCGGGTAATTTTTATATACATATAACTATATATATATATATATATATAACTATATATATATATAGAGGCTTGTGTCATTTTGGGCCTGGGGCAGGGGCCTATTTAGGAAAATTATTAAAGTCCGGGATAATTAGATTGTTAGTTATTTTCGCGTAATTAACTTTTTTAATATTGTGTTTAAGAGGGTGGTTTCAATTAGGAAATGGCTTAGCATTACCAAAAAAAAACACTAAATCAACAAATTGCAGAACGATAGAAGCACGCAAAGCATTTTACGGCTTTCTGAAAAACTGCACAAATTCGACGGGTTTTTAAGTTTCGGTTTGCTATCGGAGCGCATCTCGGCCCCGGCGGCACCGCGCCCCGTGGACGGATAGTGCAACCAGACTCTGCTGCGTCGCGCGATGACAGCGCAGCAGAGGTTGAGTTGTCATTTCATCGTTGTGTTGAATACGTGTTATTAATCTGTGCATTTTGAGCGCGTGTATCTTTTGTGTTTTTTGTGTTGTGCAAAATCCGCTCCTATCTTGGTCCTGTGTAAGACCGATAGTATTTCAAATAACGATATAAATATGCTAGGTATCGCTAATAAATGAGTATGATTTTTCACTTTTATATTCTCAAGTAACGGCGTCAGTGATTCGTCGAATAACATCCGCACAAAAGCTTTTTTTTTTTAGGCTCTGACCTTTCCGTTTTGGCACGTTATGGTTTGATTTGCGTATTCCTTTGTCGAATAAATTATGTCAGCAGCAGCTTCACATTTTTATTATACCGTACAAATAAATAATACTCTAGAGTTAGTGCATTTTTAAACGCAGCGTATAGGCACAATCAAAGTTTGTCGGTCTAAAAAACAACCACATTTATGAGCGCGCCATTAATTTACCATTTTGCGACAAAGGGGTCAAAATAAAACTCGGCGTTTGAAGTTGGCTATAATCAGTATATGAAAATTGTTCTCAGCGTGCCAGATTGAAATGAACGACGCTGCTTGTGAGCGTCCCCTCTAAGCCTCTAATTGACCCTTTGTTTCTCTCTTTGGAATGCAGATCCCCCTCCAGCGCCTTCGCTTAGCGTGTTCACGACCAGCTCCTCGTCGGTGCAGCTTCAATGGAACCCAAAGACAAAGGAGTCCACGCCCATTTTAGGTAGAAAAGAATATATGGATTCTCACAAATCCCCCGTTTCGCTCATAAATGCACGTAGTAGAGCGCGTTGAATAGAACATAGTTCACACAGAAAGAATAAAACGCAGAAATGTACGAATGGCAGACACTCAAAGTTCTTTCAAACATTGTGAGTGTCTGTTCTTCTTTCATTTCAGCGTTCTATTCTTTGAGCGTGAATTATCGCTCATCAGTCCGCAAAAATAAATTGGCATCTGCACGTAAAAATCTGAGTTTTTAACACAGAATATGCTCTTAGGCCCATCTCCATAAAAAAATGAACAGTTACGTTCCGGCGTCATATTTCAGTGGCAGATTTTAGAGTCACACTAAAAAAGTACCATATTTATCTTTTTTTTTCTTTCTTTTTTCTCTGGGCTCTGGTTACTTAGAGGTCGCTAGATATGTCCATCCTCTTAACGGAGCCAAACCGAATGCCACTGCACCACCTCTGTGACAGCTTCTCTATGCCCTACAAGAACCACATTTACAAAGCGCCTCAAATCCACGCGTGGACAACTACTTTCAGTCTTTCAAGGGCTGCGAAACGGCGCCCTCGCAAGGTTTATTTTCAGGCCACTGAACAGGTGATAACCACTGGGGGCCCGATCATGCAGTATCCATGCACGACGAAACATTCCTATGGTCGCACAATATATCAGAACGACGGCCTTACCCGATTAGGGGCCGGTCAATCACGGTGAGCCAGATGATTGGTCGTGCACGGGTACGGCACACAACACAGTGAGTAGGATGATTGGTCATGCATGGGTACGGCCTGATCAGTCCCCCAGTTGTTATCCCTAGTTCGGAGGCATAAAAAGTGAAACCCGCTATGGACGTCGTTTCACGTTCGTTGATAAGCTGGAAGTAACTGTCCAGGGGTGGGTGCGAGGCATTTCAATAAAAGTTGTTCCAGCGAGAGCATGGAGAGGCTGCCACACAGGTGGAATAAGAGCATTGAGCTCCGAGGGGGGAGTCTGTCCAGAAGGTGGAATACGTACGGTCCTCCAAGGGACCGATATTTACAGCAAGAAATGAAGTGTAAACAATGTGGTATGCCGCTCGCATAATGTATACAGGCCCATAAGGCCGATGGGGACGCCATGATGGCACGGTGTTGCGTGATATAATGACATCACGTGATTCTTTGACGTGACTCTGTCACGCGGGATCTTGACGTCCCGTGAATCCACGATCTAATAGGACGTCACGAGGTCGCGTATCCTCTTACGTAACATGACTCCATGACGTTCCGGGACTTCATGGAGTCATGTTACCTCTTGACGTCACTTGAAGACACACAGTATGTGCCCAACTTATTTCCAACTAATTGTGTGTGTCTCAAAGCTGATTACATACGACCAAGACATGATTTTTATATGTATATAGTTTAGCTTAGTGGTCAGTTTTACTTAGTGAAATTCCAAGGCGTCGCACCCCTCCAGCAAAAAATAATACATACTCGGCACGGTAAATGGCAATCAACGACGCAGACGATCGATTTAGCAACACTTGTCCTAGTGGCGCCATCTTTTGATAAGCACAGCGAGTAGACGTCGCAGGCAGTGGGAGGAAGGAGACGACCTGGACGTCTGCTTCCTGCACCTATATGTAGATGGCGCCGCAAACCCAACTTTTGCGAATTCTGTAGACTTCGTCGTTCGCCGTTGATCGTGGTCGGTTTGTTGGCCTTAAAATTTTTGAAAATAAAATGTGCCAGAAAGATACACCTTCGATAAAAATCTGAGATGACTGCGTGCAGGCATAAATTTTTTTCCGGCTGATTTTAGATGAGCCTTCGAATTTATGCCATTACACGTTTCTTATAAATTTTGTTCAGACATTAAAATGAATATGGGTGCGTAATTTGGTTTGATCGATTGCAGTTTGTACGCTGGCAAAATGAAGTCATACAAAAAGTACTCTTCTTTACGCAGCTCACAATGGTTTCACAAGAACACGACCCACAAAATCTTGAGACCCTACCTAGCGGTCCCAAAAGATACTAATTTTGCTTGGACGACGTCACTAATAAAAGCCTTACAAATTCCGACAACATTAAGTCATTTTCGCACTCAGTAGAATAAGACAAACTAAACGTTTAGGTTTGAAGTGACCCAAAATGAAGGCTGAAGATTATATTATTTAGTCTTCAGTAAAGCAATCCGCCAATCAACGCTTTCAGTCACAGTTAAAAAAAAGTAGAATATAATAAGGTCTCACGCTAGAAAAAGAAACAGTTATGTAGTTGACATCACTTCTGTTTAAATTTGGGTTTTATACGTGCCCCTGAAGATTGACGTTAGAAGATTAATCAGCGAGAATCCCAAGTATGCGGGGATTCTTTTTTTTTTTTTTTTTTCTTTCAAAGGGATTGAGTTGCAGCGTAAATATTGCAGTCTGCTGAAATGTTATGCCTCTTAGCATTTTAGAACGGCAATATTTAAAATAAAATAGAATATTCCGGAATGGCAGTGTTGTTGCTGGACATTTACCGCTGCTTCCCCTATATATGTGAGGACTGTATTTGCTCTGAAACAAGAACAATTCTCCTTAAGGAAAACTTTTGTTTTGAACTTTGCTTTAATTCAGACTCAGTTTACTTGTTTTTTTTTTTTTGTTTTTTTTTCAGAGAACTACATATCTACCAAACATCTTAACCAGACGACCTCTTTTGTATATGTTATCAGAAGAAATCCTGAGACTGGGGAAAAAACGAAGGAAGAATACAGTGTCGGAGCTTTGTCTTAAATTATGTGCAACCATCACCAATTAGTTGGCTCCCTAACTTTTTTTTTTTTTTTTTGTGTTATTCGTGTTAACAATTTCGAGAGACTTCAAGAGCGTTCCATTATTCTGGGGTGGTTCATCGATTCTTAATATAGACAGAGTACTCGCCGCAACTTCCGCAGTATTTCTAAATAACTAACCGACGCAACTAAAAAAATATATAAACAGTTATATTAAGCCCCAAACTATGCGGACGCTCTGGTTCGTCTGCTTGTTACGCGAAGGTTGCGGCGCGGTCAAAATTTCGAGCTCTGGTTGACCCTGATGGAGGGATAGTGGGTAGACCTGAATGCTAACCGCCTTGATGGCTACCCACTATCCTTCCACCGGAGCCAATCAGAGCTCGGCGTTCTGACGTCACCGCATGCCCTGCGCAAAAAGCAGACGAACTTACCCTCCGCATAAGCAGCACAAAGGGGGAGGGGGGGGGGGGAAGGGAGGTGGAGGGGGTTTGGACCACATCTTAGTTAAGTAAGGCAAAGCAAAGAAGCTGGGAACTTGATCGAGCCGCGTGACCAGTTAGCGACGCGGGGAGTCTCATCTGCATGGGCGTCCATTGGTGTGCAGGCTACTACATCTACATCAAGGAACAGTTCGGCACGTGGGAGGAGCACCAGATATCGGCGCACCAGACGAGCCACACGTTCCAGGACCTGCAGTGCGGATCCAGCTACCAGTTCTACGTGGCCTCGTACAACAAGATGGGCAAAGGGGAGCCGAGTGAGGTCATCTCTGTCAAGACGCAAGGCTCGGGTAAGTATGCTATTTTCACGAAAGAAAGAAGAAAACACTAGATATCTACAAATATTTTAATGTACCAAATATGTAAAAAAAAAAAATTACAGCAAAACTAGTTTGCGCTTTTTTGAACGTTTATTATTCGCCCAACTGTAGCGCTAGCGGTTCAAACCACCAAAGTTTCAGAAGTAACCGTAACCTTACCCACATTTGTGCGGTTATTTTTTATACTTTCAGTGGTAAAATGCTGTCTGACGGAGGCTCTCAAATACATGCTGCTGAATGGCTCCAGTTACCGAACACGGGCGAAAACGGGCCCCATTTTCCAAGCGCAATTTTCCGAAATGCTTTTAATTTAGAATTAGGTAACAATTAGTTCTGAAGTTTTGGAATCTGGCTCGAACCGCTAGCGCTACATTTCGAGTGAGAATAAGCGTTCGACAATGCATATATTATAGTTGCAATAAGAAAAAATATATTGTAAATATATCTCTTTTTAGGCTTTTTTTAGGCTTAATACCCGTACCACACGAAACACTCGAATGCCATTTACAACGAAAGACATTGGAACGATCGGCCAATCAGCGCGCGACACTCCGAGCATGGGGCGTTCCGCGCGCGACAGATCGCGAGCCGATTCGTCGATCACACGAATGTCATTCGTTGTAAATAGCATTCGAATGACCCGTGTGGCACGTGTATTAGACACGCAGGGTATAGCGAGTTTCGAAAATCACATTATCGCTTTCCAGCCAATGAGGTTTCGACATTAGCTGATAAGAAGGTCGTAGAATGAGTCACGAGAAGATAATCATCTGCAGAATAGGCCACGCCCCGCGATTCTTGAGCTGTCAGCAACTTTATTGGGAATGCATATCATTCCGCTCATTGGCATTAAATAACGCGCATTGGACAGCAGAGAAGGCTGTTTCGAGTGGCGCTCGAGATTGCCCACGACGCTAGATGGCGGCAACCACCGCCCCCAGATTCAAAGGGGAAAACCCCGAGGCTGGGGCGCGTCCAGCCGTTCTAAACCTGTTTGCGCCGAGGCCGCTGAATTTTGGCGAAGTGAGGGTATTCTCCTAGTTAAGTATTTTTCAGCTACTTGCTTCTCTGATTGCAACAAATTCTTGGTCCCCCCTCCCCCCTTGTTTTCGTGAAGCTATTATTGTATAGCAAATTTTAAGAAGCGTATAATTCAAAGAAAACGTTACGAACGATGCTCCAAGTGAGGGATTTACTTCGATTATTCTAAACCTCTCCACCGTAACGATTGTGTAACTTCCAAGAGGACTGCCCATCATTTTGTTTGTGTATATGTATGCTTGAGTGATCCTCACGACCGCATTCATTGTTATGTTTTCCTCCAAATGTTTTAATGGTTCGAAGTGTCTAGGACTCACGACACTTTTAGACCACTAGTGTGTTGTTGTCCAGTTCCCTGCTCCCATTGAAGAAAAATCGAGCTGTCCAATGACTTCACATTCGATGATTCAATAGCTTCTTGATCTTTAAAATGTGTTTGTGAGAAATGTCCAGGTTTTTGCACTACAAAATTTAAACTAACGCTTCCAATAAAATTTAGAGGGCCTGCAAAAATCATTCTAACGATACTTTGAAACGATTTTCCTTATTCTCAACAGGTGGTGGAAGCTTGCGTTGAAAAAATCAAAAATAACTTTCCTCGTGAAGTAAATTCTGAAGACAAAATGAAGGAGTCATGTCCGCCTAGCTGGTTGTCACAAGACTGAGCGTTTATTCGTCGTCGTCGTCGTTTTGCCTTATTTTTCGGCGCGGCCGATCTTGATAGATCGGCGGTTTAGAGTAAAAGAAGAAAACAAAAACAACTTCGGTCAGCCGCGTGAACCGCAGCGCGTGCAGCGTCATTCGCTCCCGAACACCTCGTTCAAAAGAGAGAACAAAAAAATCTTTTGGACAGTCTACGCCGCCATTTCGCACACGATGAACACGTAGATGGCGTAGGCCTCGTCGAGGGAACGCCGGCCGATTTAGCTTCATAGGAGATGATCTCTCCAAAGAGCCCAAAACGGCCGGAGCTCTCTCGAAGCGGCGTGTGCCATCTGTCGGCAGCGCTTCTCTCTACGCGTGCATCGTCTGGAAAATGGCGGCGTAGATTGCCTAATTGTTTTTTCTTAAACGAGGTAAGTAATTATTTTTTCCCTGTAATGTTTTACTACCTGCTTGCATTTCTGAAGTAGATTGCAGAGCGATATGTTGAGAAACCGTTTTTTGCAGGTGGTCTGCCTCAGAAGCGTTAAGGCCCGTTCACACTCTTGCAACCGAGTACGACCGAGAGAGACGAGACTTGTTAAAACTTCTTAAAATGTCTCAGGACGAGGGAACACACTGACATTCTGGCGCTATCTACGCGGTGACCCTGGAACTGCATTTCACAAGAGCGAAGGTTTCGCGGGTTTTCCAAGGTCAAATTTGTGTAATACTTATAAGAATGGCTCGTTTATAACGTTGACAAAAGTTTTCGAGCCAAGAAAGAAGGGATAATGGGCGAGAGAAATAGAAAATATGCCGGACCGCCAAGTTTACACTGCTACCGAATAGATGGCGCCAGTGTGTCCTCTCGTTGTAAGAGGTTTTAAGGAACCCAGTTTTAAGAGGTCGCAAGAGTGTGAACGGGCCTTTAGTTTACATTCTGTCTAACACATTAAATGACGCTTTTCAAGTACATTTTTAAGTTATTTATTTATATCTAATATCTAATATTGTGCAATATATAAACGGAGGCTCTGTTTTAAAATATTTAAGGTGATTTTTTAAGGGTATTAGAATGTATGTAATAAGGAATCCTGCGTTGGCGATTTTTTTTTTCAGACCTGGACCTACGTTGGGGTCCGTGGAGACCACTAGAAAAGATACCATTTTTTCGTGGTCTATAGTGACCAGAAATGTAGGACCATGAATTTCAGAATTTAAAATAAAGGGGAACTCGCGCTAGGGATTCTTAGCCTTGGGGCTTTCTTGGGGGCTGGGCAGGCTGCCGAAAGGGATGATATTACATTTAAAAGCCTTTCTTGGTTTCAAAAGAAAAAGCGCTAAATTGCGACGCACCGCTTTTTTATTCAATGTGTAATTATTTAATGGCCTGTTTAATGGTAAATTCTCACCTTCAAGTGACGTGTTTATACGTTCAAGCAGTTATATAAAATAATAGTAATGTGAGAAGTATAGTTGCAAATGTGACTTTTTAAAACTTTGTTTGGAATGTCTGTGTGTTAATATTAGGGTGGTTGAGGTGCGTGCGTGCTTGCATGCATGCGAGTGTGTGTGCGTGTGTGCGTGTGCGTGTTTTTTCTCTTTCGTCCGCGTTGTGATGCAAAACCGAGAATGCACTTTGCTGCCAGTGGGCATGTAACTCAACATAAGCATAACGCTCCCCTTACGACGTGTTTTTCTGTCTCACAGCCCCCGTGCCACCGAAGCGGGACGCCCTGGTGTCGGTGAATGCCACCCGCCTTTCGGTGCACCTGAACAGCTGGAGTGCGGCGGGCTGCCCGATCAAGTCGTTCCTGATCCAGTACCGGTTGCACGACGAGGCCGACTGGGTGCTCGTCTCGAACGCTGTGCCGCCCGATCAGAAGGTGGTCGTGGTCGAAGACCTGGCCCCCGGCAAGTGGTACATCCTCCAGGTGACGGCGCACAGCGAGGCCGGCTCCACCGAGCAGGAATTCACCTTCAGCACTCTCACGCGCACCGGAGGTACTCCACCGCTCCACCTGTCTTGACCACTGCGATTGAACTTAACCTGATGCATGTGTGTGTGTGTGCGTGCGTGCGTGTGAGTGTGTGTGTCCGACTGCGTGCGTGTGTGCGCGCGTGTGTGTGTGCGTTTGTGTGTGCGTGTCCAACTGCGTGCGTGAGTGCGCGCGCTCGCGCGCGCGCGCGTGTGTGTGTGTTTGTGTGTATTTGCGTGCGTGAGTGCATGTGAGTGTACGTCTGCCTGTCTGTGTCTTAAAGCATAAAATGCATTTTTTAACTGGAATAACTAAAGCCGTAAGCGGGTGATCGTGTAACTAGGCGGTGTAAGGTGACATTGTAAAAAAATGGTGCAGATAATTTTCAGTTCACCATCACAAAGATGGTGCTTGCGTTGGAGGGTGACGTAATTAAGGAGTCTATGAAAGACGTCCCTCATACCGTCGTAATATGCGCACGTAACCTGCTCGTCGATAAAAAAAAAGTAATAAAAACGGCAAATAATGTTGCAATATAGTTCCAATAGGTTGGGCTTCAAACAGCGAGTACCGATGCGCCATCTGACTGAAGTTTGGTAGGGTTCTCTTGTCGGCTGCTTTCGACTCTCGCTACGCGATGGAGCCACGCGTCGCAGAGGAGCCTTTTTCCGTTTCCGCGGAGAAGTCTCGTTCGCATTGGTCTGGTCTCAAGATTCCGGGAATTATCCTATCACGCGCTTCTAGAGCTTCGGAAAGAATAAAAAACGGCCTGCTTTTCAATTCTCTTTTTAGAAGCCTTAAACTCTGCTCTCAGGACCGGCATGGATGTAAATATAATATAGGGGCCTTCGAAATTGTCGAATCAGACCGCGCTTTCGGGTCCTGTCACGTGACAGTGCAGAGGATGTTGAAACGATTAGTCACCGACCTCAAAAATACCTATGCTATGTATATCTTTATGGATTGTGCGAATATGGAGGACATAATAATATACCCCATACACAATATAGTCATGGCTTCTACAAGGTATACGTGAAAAAAGAATACATTATTTGCTAGTGAAGTGCGTATTAACCGCATCAGGTAGAGGGATGTCTCGTTACTGTAAACACCTCCGTTCCCGCAAAAAAAAAAAAAACATTGCCCATACTGTGAGCTGTTTATAATGCCGCGACAAAGATGCATGTATTTCCCTAGTTCGTCCCCGAAAATGGTGTCTATATATCGGGGTATCCTATATTGACGGGGTCCATATAAACGACGCACGACCGTACATGAAATCCCAGCATACCTCAGTTCAATTATCGTATTTCGGATGAGTGACCGCTCAATTCACAAATTCGTCAGTGATCTTCTTAACGCGTCTGTTAATAGGCCGGTGAGCCTTCCTACGTATTGGATGGTTTTGTGGAAAGCTTTTCTCCCGTGAGCTCTTTTCCCACAAGCTCATACTCGGCAAGCTTCTTTCTCTGACCTTTTCTTCGCCTCCCATAAAAGAAACTAACATACTGCACACTCAAGGTTTGCACTGCGCACTTTTTGCTGACTGTTGCTTGCGCGTCTCTTCTTTTCGCAGCCGCCATTCCTCCTCTGAACAGCTTGGAAGGCCAAAAGCCTGCTTTCTACCGGAGCATGGGCATCCTGGTCCCTTTGGTGTGCGTGGTGGCCATCCTAGTTCCCATCGTGGCCATCATGTCCTTCATCGTGTCCAGGAGGCGGCGCCAGGCTGCCCCCAACCACTTCAGAGGTAACCTTTCAGAGATACCCTTTTGGCGTAGTATATTGTACCGTGTCGCCGGTTGACTGCAGTAAAGTTTACATTTGGGCTTGTTGGTAGTCTAACATATTGAAGGTATTTAGCGCACAAGGTACCTTGTGCGCTACCTTGTAGACTAAATACCTTCAATACGCTTGTTGATTCTACAATTACTCTTAAATACGAACAAGACATGAACAGACAAAAAGTCTCCCATACGACAAGAACTGGCAGCTGTCGCACATGCGCCCTTTTTTTCTCACTTTCCTGTCTTCTTCGTGCTATTTAATAATCATTACTTTTAACCGTCTAGCCCAATAGAAAGTCATGTTTTTGTACGATTATCGTACCTGGTGTTGCCAATATCTCCGTGCACCCCTAAGCTGAGATAGTGGTGGGTGCTACGTGCCCGCGGGACCAATCAGCCGCTTCCCTTTCATCGCCTGACCAGCCTCTCTACGAGTGTGTATGGGCTGGAGCGTGATCACGTGGCAAAAAAGAGACGTATCACAGGTTTAACGGGGGCGTAGCTTCCACCGCAGTCTCCGCTTAGCGGTGGAAGCTACTAAAACTTCCTCATATCAATAACGCTGGCGTAAAACTGTTCCGGTTAGTTCTAACAATCCCCCTACCCCCCCCCCCCCCCCCCCCCCCCCCGGCCCATTACGAATGGTCCAAAAACCGGAATGAGTCTTATCTAATGGACGAATTTAAGGGCGTATAAAACACACAGCACAGTGTCACAGGTATGAATGCCGTACGAAATATTCAGGCTTTAATTTTACAGCTTCTGCTTTGGCACAACGGCGCAAGAACACTTTTTTTCCCGTGTTGCCAAACGAGTCACTCTAGGTCCCGTAAAGCTTTGGATTTTAAACTGGATTCCTACATATGCCGGGGTTGCCCTCAGAATCATTGTGAGTTTCTAAACTCTCAAATTTCCTCGGCCATCCCGGCCCCTCAGTGAAGCGTTTTACAGTGTAGGCGCTGTTTCAGCAAATCTGAACTGCCAATTGATGCGTAACTATCAGCCAGACACCGCATACTATGTGCATTATTCTTTAGACGGAATGTAAGATTCTCCACTGCTTTAATGCATTATTGTTGGGACAGGGAGGAGGTTCTATCGGCTGCCGAAACAATTGGAGGTAAAGGTTCCTCGACTTCACAAGTTGAAGATCCCCTGTCGTACAGCGAAACTATAGAATAAGCGTCACGTGCTGCATTCGCAGACTCCTGCTCCGAGGACAAGAACCTGGAGGCGATGAGCTTGTCCATCGTCAAGCAGACCGGCAGCGGCCTGGAGAGCGCCAGCCCGAGCAAAGACCAGATCTACTACCCGTCGCCCTACGCCCTCGGAGGCCGGGAACCCGTGCTGCACCGCCAGGGACCCTCGGAATCGGACTCCGTGCACACCCTCAAGAGGAACCGGAGGGAGCACATCTACGAAGTGCCCTACCCCAGATGGGTATGCCTCGCTGAAGAGCGGTTTCACATAACATACCTCCTGTTCGAAATCTCGTCGGACTCCATGTAAGTGAACATTTGCCATACATAGAGTGATGCGCAGAGGCAGCATTCGAGCTCGGTTGAGTTCTTTTGCGTCATGATTGACAGCGTCTGCTGGATTAGTCGGCGACACAAATGAGTGTCATTTTGGTGCTCGCTTTTTGTGCACACCGATCTTTAGTCGAGTTAAGTATGGAATCGGCGACCGATAAGTCAACCGGTCGCGTACGAAATGGCTCCAGTTGACGCTGCCCGGGGCGGTTCTGAAGTAAAACAAATCGGACAAAGCTTCGGTTTATGCGGCCCTTATACGTCCCTGAGCGTATACATTACTGAACTCGCCGTCGGTGGAGCCACTCGCCACGCTTCAGCGTTTCACCGACACCGAAAACGACGCCAATAGCTAACCGTCTGCGTGCTCGGTGGCTTACCGGAAAAAATAAAAAGATATTTCTAGGAACTGCCTCATAGCCAGTAACAGCGTAAGAGCCGCAAGGCGTGGCTTAATTTGTTCACGCTTATCGGTTCGTGATTGGTTCTTCTCGGCCAGTGCCGCAATCTCATTGTCAACGGCGCGATAAGAAGATGCTAAAAAAACGCCCTGCGTTACTTCAGTTTTCACTGATTATAGAGGGTGTCTCAAGCGTAACTTCCGCTGTAAAACATGGCAGAAAAAATCGACGCCTCCACGAAGACGTTGCAAACTTTCGCCGAATGGGCTCTCGACGAGTCAGTTTTGCCGCGTGAAATTCCAAGACAAAGTTTTCTTCCTGCGAAAACTGAGATGAAAAAGTGTATGACAAATTGCTAGGTAATTGCGTTTGCTGCATACGTAAAACGTTCTAGCATTGCAAGATGTGTACACTTGAAACGATAAACCTGGTGATCTTCCAGAACCTACTAACCCACACCCCCTCTTCCACCTTGCCTCCTCGCCTACCTCTCCTCTTCACTCCACCCCTGGTCACATGACCTTCCCGTTAACCAATCAACGTCGAGCACATCACTCCTCCTCTATCACCCATCAAACAATCAGTGTCGAGCTTCGCGGCCACGCTTTTATCCGCTTCACTTTTGGACTTAGCGAAATGCCAAACACCTAGCTAAAGAACGTTTCAAGTTAAAAACGTGCCAAAGTCAAGTTTGAGCGCGTTCAGAGGCAACCTGAGTTGGCGACGCTATTTACTTGTGGCGCCATCTCCTGATAGGCATTTAAACAGACGACGCACTTTGCTGTCTGCTCGCTGCACCTATCGGGAGATGGCGCACATGTTAATATCAACGCAAACACGGGCGTCTGCGAACGCGTCCAACCTCGATTTTGACAAGTTCTTTAGTCTAATTGTTTACAGTAAAAGAATTACGCCTTGAAGTTTCAAGCGGTAAAACTGACCTGGTTAGTTCACAATCTGTGAATGTTTTAGCTATCTATGTGCTGACGCCGATTCTTTTTCAGGCTCGTTTTACAGTAAGGTCCGATTGGCACACCGTGTAGATAACAAGGTTGCATCGCATTGTCTACGTCTCTTATCGGAGGCGCGCGGCAAACCGATTGGACAGAAAGGCTGCCTAGTAATCGGCTGAAACTCGGCAATAAACCCGAGCCGGAGTCAAACGCCGATGTTGCGCTGCTGTGGCCTGCTTGACACAGTGCTGGCTTCGGCACCGAGTTTAGACCAACGTGGAAAAGAAAAAAAAGGACGGGTGTCTGAACGGCACCGCCTGGCTATGGGACAAGTGCGGCAAAGATTCCCTCACATTTCAGGCAAACGCCGCGAGATGCGCAACATCACTAGGGCCTCAAGGAAGCGTCTTTATTCGCGTACACGCTTTCAAGCTCTAAACCTACAATGGCTTTGCCGAGAGATGAGCGAACCCCGAGGGAAATTTCGACCACTTGTCTGGCCTTGTTTAAACATCTCTTTCTTCATTCCAAAATATTTAGACAGCACGCCCTTGTATAATCAAAGTCATGGAACGTCATTACCCTAAGAAGACTCCAACTGAATAATTGAACCTTAGCCTGACATCAAGAATCCTTCAACGTCCTGATTCAACTTCAGACTCATCCGAACGCAGAGACAGGGCTCGTGCCCAATTTTGTCTGCGCCTATCTTACTCTGATGCCGGCAAGATTCTATTACACGGATTTTGATAACTCTAGCTGGTCTTAGCTTAAACCTAGCAAACAGAAGTTTGCCTAAAATATGTAAATATATATTAATTCTTGCATTTTGCTGTAATGTTCAGCGGTATGGGATGTGCGCGCTAGATGATAGCCGATAATTGTAAACATTGATGTACAGATTTTAAATAAAAATGTATGCATTGAGTTTATTTCTATCAGCTTATCATCTATGTCGTCGGGTACACGCTGCGCTCGAAAAAAAATTAAACAATACTGTACGTCAATACAATGTGTTGCGATCAACTCGCAGGGAAACTCCTATTCTTCATATAAGACCAAAAACTTCGCTGGGTGGTGAGATATTTGAAGCCATCCCTGCATAACCAGCTACGATATAATACAGACCACGGTAACTCAGAACGGTCGACCAAACAATACTGAAGAGAATAAGCGCTTTCCGTTTTACAGGGCGCGTGATCACGTCCCACATGATTTAAAATCAAGCAATCACATAAACAATGACACATCAGGTTGTCCGCCACTCAGCTTATAATTATCAATAAAAAAAATGGGAAAAATATTCCTAGGCGGTCTGCATAGTGGCAACACCTCCTAGATAGCTTTCAGAGCGTGCGCATCACGTGACATGACATCACGTCCGGGAGGCCTGCACGGGCGCTGATTAGATGCGAGTGCCGCGTCAGCGTTCGCGTGGGGCTCCTTTCCTATCACAGTCCCACCCGAACGCTGACGTGGCACTCACATCCAATCTGCGCCCGTGACGGCCTCCCGGACGTGACGTCATGTCAAGTGACGCGCAGGCTTGAAAACTATTTAGGAGGTGTTGATAGTGGCCGCCAGCTTTTGGAAAATGTTTGACCTGTGCGTGGCAGCAACACAAAGCCAGCTCTCGTACTATTAGAACAAGCTGCACCACATGTGCGGTGTCAACGTCTTGGGAAACATGAGTGTAACTTGTTCTGCTTCTTTCGAAAGAGCGAAGAGGAGGGTCCTTACTCCCACATCACAGGCAGCGCCATCTCTCCGACAGCCAACATCTACCAGACGCCCCGGAAATCAGGTGAGGACATCTCGCTTTTGGTGGTCCATTGAAGGCAATTTTCTTTGAGTTGCTGTGGTCAAGCCATACGTGAATATAAATATAGTTCTTTACTGCGTTCGACTCCCTCTAGACATTTGATTTGGCCATCAACTGCAGTAGGTGCGGGCGGCGACGCTGACGCGTCTCGCGCCGTTCGTCACGGGGAGAACTGTGAAGTGCATGCTCGTGAGAGCGATGCCGAAAGACCTCGCGGAACGCGACACCGATGCCCAGCGACATCGCCGAAACGCGTCGCAGCGATATATCGCTCGGACTGTGCTGTAGATTAACAGACAGGGCTGCTCATATATCTTTTTCATTTCTGCAAGCTACGATGTACGCTGACGCCAAGACAACTCCCTCGGGCGCTCGTTGAGCCACTCTGCAGCTTTTGTCGTCTGCTACTGAGGAATCGAAGGCGATAACTCTTCATTTAATCGAACCGCAGAAGAAACGCACTACACAGCATAACTGTATCGGGAGCTTTCTAGAAACAAGTTTTGAAGAGCCTCGACTTGTGACAACCAATAATCGGTCCACGGTTGAGTTGCTCGAACACGGATGTCTTTCTCTATTCGTCAAAGACATACTAAAAAAATTCGTCAGTGCCAATAGAAGTGCGTCAGACATCTGAGCTTAAAGAGCAACGGGCAACAGTATAAATAATACCGCCGAAGACTGTGAACCGCTTAATTGACGCCTACAGGAATGAAGATCGTGTTGTGGATGTATCACATGAAAATAATTCTATTAAAAACGCGGAGAACTACTAGCTCGTCGCTGCTGTACTGGTGAACCATTTCCGTTCGGAGCGGAAGCTTCCAAAAAGCCTGGCGGTGCAGGCGTCTATGCAGACAGTCCTTCCCCAGTTGAGGTCTACCGTCCAAATAGAATATGACAAGAAAGCGCGGAGGGGCCCAACGAGCGCAGGAGGAGAGCTTTCTTGGACTCACCGTGCCTCACAGATTGCTGAAAATGCGACAGGCGGCTCTGTCTGTAACGCTCACCACGCGGAGCGGCGTTTCAGCTCCTATTGGCCGCGATAGTACTACGTACTGAGCTAGAATAGCACAGACACAAAGATGCGAAGAAGTGTTGTCCCGTTCTTCTTCTCATATTTCTGCTTGAGCTAGTACATATATCAGTATGGCTAGGAAAACTGACTACACGTAGGCGCCCTCAATGGAAACTTTTATTGCTTTCTGAATTTTCAATGAACACCCACTTGGGAGTAAACATTCTTGCCTCTGTTGTGTGTTTATTTATTGGTGTCGTATTCTGCATGTTTTTGGGAACTATAAGACAGCTTTAAGACTCACATTATACACCCCTTTTGCGGAGCGTTTATTACAATATCACTCGTTCTTTGATAGTTTTTGTTTCTTATGAGCGGAAGTATCGGACATGACACGACTGTATGTGTGCTATTGACTACACAGTTTCTCCCGCGCTGGATTGCGTCACGCGCAAGCTGTTCACAAAAACCTAGAACCGAAATTTTTAAACGACATTTGATCATGTGTATTTGTTTAGAACGTCATGCATTCGATACATCCCAAATTACGGCCAGTATTTTCCCAGTCTTTTTTTTATAGTAAACTCAAGTAAGACTGTACAGACTACATAAACTACGTCGTAGAGTGTCACGGGTATTTTGAATTTGCAAACACGCGCCCTTATCCGGTTGATCCGGGGTGCATGCCCCCGGCTTCATTCTCCCCCTGCACCCGTTATCCTAGCAGAAGATATTTTGTTCTGAACGTGACCTCTTTCGAGTTTCCATGCAATAACGGCACTTGGGTTCTACCCCCCCCCCCCGCGGCCGCACACACACACACGCACATACACAAAACGAGCCAGTTACGCAATGTTCTAACGAGCTGCTTCGTTACTTATACTTTTCATGTGCATCCGATTCACAGGCTTGGGGCCAAAGGTGAACTCCGGCCCCAATACGCCTATAGACGGGCGGAGGCTGTCGCGAGAAGGACACAGCCACAGAACGGGATACCGGTCTTCCACTCTGGCTTCCGACGGGTGAGGCCCAGAGCTCAGAGCCCCATCGTTGTTTCATACCTGCTGGTGAAATAACTTGGAGACCGAACCATACACGATGTCTCTGTCTCGCGGATCATATAGTAGCAAAGTGATGGCCTCAACGCCAGACATTCCAGCTTTTGCAAAATGACTTTGCCATAAAAAGAACAAGATGTCAAAGCAATAATAATCCCTGGAGAAGGGGAACACAGAGGACAAAGGACAAACACAAATCTCGGAACACAGCTATAGGATTTTTTTAGGTCGCGCACCAGTTACCTATAGCTGTGTAGGAGATTTGTGTTTTTCCTTTGTCCCCTTTGTTCCATTTTTAAGGATTATTATTGCCATTCTAGTTTAGCTCGCTTGCACCTTTGCAATAATTGCATCTTAATCAATGACAAAGCTACCTATTGCCGCAATCGTCCTCTAATACAAATGTTTAACTTCTCTCTGTCTGGCTTCTGAGTTATGCAAACAGTATGTAATCACACCTGCTTATAAGTCAGTAAGTATCAGTGATATCGGAAACGTAATACCGATTTTCTTCTAGTACCTTCTGCTAAACCCTGAAATTAATCTTTTGCATTGCATTTTTCTTTTAGCCAGAAATTGCTTCTGAGCTTCTGGAGTTTGTGAGTGCAATGTTTGTAAAAACTGACCCAACATCATGCTTGGCATAAGCAACACTTATTAAATGTCAGCAAGGTGTCGTTTATTTTTTTTTATTTGCCTTTAAAAGACAGTTGCCTTCAATCAACAATATTCACGAGTAGGCCACTTGAAAATATTTGGAGTAACTGAAAGTTAATACAGAAATTTTAATTAAACCTTTTTTGTTTAATATTTTTAGTCGTTGCTTTGGCATTATTGTGTGTTTGATCCAAGTGCACATAACTACATCTTCAGAACTGTAGTTCCCTTGTGACTTCTTAATGAAAAGCAATGACGTCATTTTTTTCCAGTTGTACAATGATTTAAATTAGTGAATCGTGCGACGATTTTGAATTTTAGAGATTTTTCCACTGTAGTTTTTTTAACAACAAAAAAAACGCTAGCTCCGGGAATGTGTACAGTCAATATTGTATGCTGCAGCATTGTATGTACGTATTAATGACCCAGGGAGGTGCAATATTTTCGTTATTTGAGTTTGATTAATGTGTTATCCATTATCTTGGACGCTATGAAAAACGTTGGTTGCATATTATGTTCATTGTTTTACTGTTTTAACCTTACAACAACGATTTAATGGTCCCATCCGACGCCCGCCTTGTTCGCTCCGAATACACGCTTAATCTATATGTTAACACCATGGTGCCTGGAACGCGTCTCCGACTGGTGTGTTTACCGCGCCCAAAAAGTGGTCCCTCAATTTCAGCCTGATGACGTCATAAAAGTGTCATGCTGTCGCTGGTCGCTATCCTGGCGGCGTCCCAACAGTTGTGGTGTATATGGCAGACGCCTGTTCCGCTGTAGGTCGTTCTCCACTGTGTCAGTCCACGGACGGTAGAGCAGCCGGAAGCTGGGACGCCTGGGACGCCGTGACGACAGCGACACTAGTGTTCATTCGTGGTTTTCGCCAGCATTTCTACGCCCAACCGCCAGGATCGCGACAGGCAACAGCATGACACTCCAGTTTCTGGGACGTCATTTGTTGCCACTTAGGAACCACTTTTGATGTATGGGCGGGATAGGGCGCTAAACGCACCAGTCAAAGACGCGGTCCAGGCACCATAGTTAACGCCCTTTCTGTTTTTGATCCACGTAGGCACTCCGCAGATGACAGTGACAGCGAAGAAGCGGCGTACGTATTTCAGAGGAACGGCAACGGGAGCTACGCAGAACACCAGGAAATGTCTGAAGCGGAATGTGATAGGGACCAGCACACGAGAGGTCAGTACAAAATAATGTCCGGGGCCTTTTTTGTACTGGTGCTGGAGCAGAACGAATCATCATCAAGGCATGATGCTAAAATGTGCGTGCGATCGGCGAAGGCGAATCAATGTGTCTATAGTATTAGCGTCATGCATAAGAGTATTGCGTGCACTAATCAACGTACATGAGAGTTTTGCACGTATTAAACCACTTACCAGAGTAGTCATATATTTCTTTAATGATTTTTTGTTTCTCGCTTTATAAATGAGTGTTACGCCTTCAATATATAGATATTGGAGAATTGTGCTTGCTGGTATTTTAGCTGAACAGTATTGTTTTGCCAAATGTATTCATTGAAAGGCTGTAATTCATTTTTAATTAAATCTTTTCGTACGGTTATTTTTAATTACATTTGCTGGAGATAAACCTTATAATTATTACACTTTGTTCTTCCTGAAGTCATATTCCTGAAATCTTTCCTCGGAAAACTGAATAGGAACATTATGTTTCCTACATAAGATGGAATGAATGACAGGCTTCTTGAGAAGCCTCGGTTTCGACTCCCTGTCGTATGCCATATACTTCCAATATTTTTAAAGACTGCATAATAACGAAGTTTTCCGAGAAATTTGTAGCAAAAAGTGCCCCTGCCCTTAGTATCAAGTGCCGTAGTTTGTCGTAGTTTTCGTACTTTTGTAACAACCCATCGCGAGTATAGTACCCCGTGTCTCCTCTCCCAACCCCGCACGTGGCTTTTCGCCCTAACAGCTGCCAAGCGTCTGGAAGCCCTCGGAATTCACATGAGTCCGGGATACAGCATAACCTGAGACCTACTAACCTCCCGGGACCTTAACCAAGCGAGGGAGACCTGCGTTTGACAGTGACCAACCGTCTAACACCGAGAGCAGCTTTTTCCGTAACCGACGCCGCCTCCGAGAGTGCCGTGTACAAGACAGAATGCGTGCACGCCGAGACCCAGCACAGTGTGCCTCAGAAACTCTGAAACAAGGAACGGACTACATTCCCGGGGATGTGCATCGACCAGGGTGTGCGAGAGGTGGTTAAGGACGCAGGAACTTCCTGCGCTAGGAGAAGCACGACAACCAAATTTTTCCATTAAAATCCACAGGAAAGGCGCTATGCGAAGAGCAAGTCGGCTGCATCTTGCGCAGTAGTTGCAACGGCGTCAGAACGGCGCCGAGCTCTGATTGGGTATGGTTGAAGGACAGTAAATAGACCTCAAAGCAAGTTGCCTAGAGGTCTATTCACTATCCTTCATTTAGAACCAATCAGAGCCTGGCACTCTGACGTCACCACAACCCCTGCGAAAGAAGCGAACAAACTTGCGCACCACAATGCTTGTCAAGGGATACGGGAATTTCGTTCCCCCGAAAATTGCACTAAAGTCATCGACAAGGTGAGAACAGCAAAGGGGAGTTTCAGTCATGACGCCTCCAGCGTGAGCTTCTTACCTTCGATGAAACGTCGGCGTCTTGTGCGTCTCAAACGTGCACGCGCAATCAAAGCACGGCGGAAGGCAACAATAGCGCGCTGGAGGACGGGCATTCGAAAAAGGTGTTTTGCTGTTTATATCTTGTTAGGGTCGCTATCAATTAACATTTTGTTTGTGATTCGTTGTATCGGCTGCCCACACACATAAAAAAAAAAAACGTTCGCGTTATTTTTATTTTTTTACTTTATTCTTTATTTTTGCAAGACCAAAACAACGTATTGCCAAATGCTTATACTGCGCCAAAATGAAGCACTAGCGGTCCGGCTCCAGATGTCAACGCTTCAAAGCTTGCTGAAAAGACGGTGAGAGTGCAGGCGAGCTGGTGGTAGCTAATCATGTCGTATTACACCTGAGACTGCGGTGGAAGAAATCGGAAGAACTTTCAGTAGAAGGAACACGTTCTCTGTGTCTGTTCCTTCTACTGAAAGTTCTTCCGATTTCTTCCACCGCAGACTCAGGTGTAATACGACATCAAAGCTTGCCGTTGTCTGATTGAAGAGTTATAAAGCGATTTTCTTACCTTTTCAGGCAGAAAAGAGGGCCGGTTTTCGGTAGCCACGTTGTTTATTTCGCCGCATTTGAGAACTTCGTCGGACGCCATTTTGTAGTGAATATTTTCTAAAACTGTTTATAACCTTCGAATCATGTAATGGTAAGTTTTCAAACTTTAGTGTCAGTTCAGGATCTCTAACGCTACGTTCGAACAGGAACTGCGTGTTTGACGATGCGTAGTTTTACGATCAACACAGCACAGTGAACTGTTTCCTCGACACTCGGTAAAACAAAAACAAAACATCTTTCATGCCATGACGTTCCCCTTTCTTTTTGGTATTTTATATTGATAAATTTAGCAATATTTCAAAAGCCAGTATAAGTTTTTATATTCAATTGAGCTTCCACGGTGTCGATTTCCCTACTCGCCAATATGAGTAACGTTTTGGCGTTGTATTAGACTTATAAGCAATCTTGGTTGCTGAGGTTCCATAGGCTGACTGCATTTCTCAGGAGTGTTATCATGCGTGAATGAAAATGTAGCTCGTTGCTGCTTTACAGTTGCAAGGCAGAACGCTGTTCAGTCATTTTTCAAGGTCCTCCGGTTTGCATTTTAAACTACCGCTTCGAGCGTAAATTATACCCCGCACCCCCATATAGCGCGAACGCAAGACATGGGTAGGCTTTCACATTTTATACATACAACTCCATGTCCACTGGCTAAGTATACCGCCTACGTAAGTGTCCCAAATAAGCATATACCACTACACGAGTAGTTCCATTAGCAACCTTCCCCACGCAAGAAAGCACTCGAAAATAAATTTTTCGGTTCAGGCATTCAGACAAAGAGGGGGGGGGGGGGGGGGGGGGCACTTCAAACTTATATATAGGATAACTTGAACTGTGGCAACTAATCCCAGTCCCCACAATATTTTACGTTTGCATACCCTCCTGCCTCCGGCTGCCTCTCGCACACCTTGGTTTCGACTGTTGTGGACTAAACACAAATCCCGAGTGTTCCACATGGATCGTGGCATGACTCTTGCCTTCTACGAGAGACGATGTTTGGAATAAGTTTGCATGTTTGAACTCGGATCGAACTGTGTGATGGAAGTACTACTATCACGTTATTCTTGCGTCTTGAGAGCCTTGGCCTCAGCAGGTAGGCTTCTCAGCTAAAACAAAATGGCTTCCGTTGGATCCTGCTGTGATTAGCAAGGCCGTTGTCTTAGGACGCGCGTCAGTGCGTTCTTTCGCCTGCTGCGGTTTGAATGATTCTGGCTAGGCCAGAGAACAAATCGTCAGTCTTTGTCGAAGGCGAGCTTTGCAGTAAGATGGAATATCTAAATGCTTGAAAGGTTTTGATAAGGTGAAGGTGATTCACTACTTCTGAAGATGATGCCACTTGAATTTTGTTACCTTTGATAGAGCTGGTGGACGCACGTTTGTAGCCCATCTATTAACGACTTCGTTCCAGAAGTCGCTATTCTTTTTTATACAGACCAGCGATATTTTGAAACGTGCAGTCTCCATGAAGCTTCTTGCCTACAAACTGAGCCAATCGCGAGATAGTTTCAATGTCGTTGACGTTTTTTTGTTTTTTTTTAAGATTAAAGCTTGCTGCAATCCCCCCGGTGATAATTTTGCTGTTTATTAGCTATACTCTTTTTTTTAAATTTAGCGTGGATACCGTTTTGTTGCAGTATTGACCTCGAAACCTATTTAGAGAAAGATGTTATATAATCTAAAGTAACGGGCTTCATGTTGATGTTACATACGGAAGAGTGTTGCTTCTGCTAAAGAAAGTATTTTTATAATAAAACGAATGAATATACATTATTCAAACTCACAAAATAATCTTTCGAGGATGCCTCGAATTGTTACATAAGCGCGTTGAACGGAAGGTGGTGTCTTCATGAGACGTTATTAATTTACGCAATATTGTCAAAAGAACCTGTCTCGAATGTAATTACTTTCTAATAATCTACATCACTTGGTCTTACTTTTTAAAGACATATGTCAGGATTACGAAGCTAAGAAAGCTCGTTTGTTTGAAGATTATCTCAACCTGAGAGTTTGGTGGCAAAAGTCAGGACAGTGTACATAGTCGGTTAAGTTGAACATTGCTTAATTATTATGTCGGTGATATGCTACATGATGTTCCGAATGTGCAATGTATAAGTTAATGGTGGCCTCACAGTGTTGGCCGCACTAACTGTGCCTATTAAAAAGTGGTTGAATAATATAAAACAAAAATGTTGATTAATTTTATGTGTTATATTTGACATAGCTTTGCCGTTACAGACTTGTGGGTTTTTGTGTCTTTGTAATTGTGCTCAAAACGAATTCAAGAGAAAAGCGCTTCAGAAGCTACTTTTTGTTTCTGCAAGTAGGCTGATCTATATTTTCCGTCCACCTAGATGCGAATGCAGTATTGTGTACGAAATAAACGTCATATCAGCATTTAATCTTTGTTTCCAATTTCACCAACGGTTGCAGAATCAGCACCTTTATCTTTATATAATACACCGGGAAAAATTCGTATAAAACAAAAGTTGATGAAATATTAACCTTTGGGTTGTTCTAGCATATCCTATCGTCATTCCTTACGTGACAGGCACCGTTTCACCAAGAGGTATTTCTGATCTTCGTCGCAATGTTCAGCCTGTACAACATACAAGTTATTGATAAAATAAGGAAAAAAGGCTTCAGAAATGCCTGGAGAACTCAATATTAAATACGTTTACTTCTGTATAACGCTACAAAATATCATAACAAAAGCATAGACGTTTCGCCACCCCTACAAGTGACATCTTGAAAATTCGTGATAAGACGTGGCTGGTGCCTCGTCTCACTCGTACAAGTGTGTTCAAAAGATGTGACCTGTAGAGATGGTGAAACATCTGTGTTTTTACAGCGGAGCTGTTACGAGCTAGTTTTCCCAAGATCGTGTCCCCCGCAAAGAAATGAAGACATCGAACTCTGGACACCTACCGCCATCTATGAGCGATGGCGGCAAGCCACGTATCTGGTTGCCGGAATCACTCATAGATGGCGGCAGCCTTTCCACTCTGGCTTGCCGACTTGCGGTCGGCCATTCCTTTCCATTGTACAGCTCCGCTGGTCTTCCTTCTTCACCAGAGTGGAAAGGCTCAAAGTTTTTGTTGGTGTGTTTGTTGTGTTAAGCATGAGTAAACGTTTTGTTTTAATTACAGGGACGGCGCAGACTGGAAGTATTCAACAACTTTGGTACGAGATGTATTGGACACAAAACGATTCCTAAAACCGAACTCATCGTCTTTTTGCGCGTAACCGTACCAGGTTCGACCCGTCTTGACAAATTGCCAGAACAAGTTTTTTAGACTTTACTTAAGCAATATATACTTTTTTTAAATTTATGGCTGTGTTAGGAAACACCCGTAGTTTAAGTACTGCTTTGCTCCATGAGAGAGATGCAAATCATTTAATATGATATAAAGCGTATTAAATAAGGGCAAATTTTATATTCATAAACATAATGCGATTAACGAACTATTACTTTCCAGCTCATTCTTCAAAGGAGATCTTTAAATTCAATTATTATCTATTAAGGAGAGGGATCTCTCGCTTTCTCACGACGAGTAAAAAAAATACGTATTTACTTTTGTCTAAACGTCATTTTACTTAATCGAGCTTTCTTTTGCCAAGCCTTAAACATTTGTTAAGAAGTAAAAATACAATTGTTTTCCAACAATAAACTCGTTCTTTATTCTAGTTCAAAAGAAACGATAATGAAGATAATCATTTGACCTCAGGTGCGATCAACCGTTTTAATAAAGAAAACAGCAGGTATATACAACTACCCTTTCTAGAAAACTTGTTTTCTTTTACCTTAAGCTCTGTGCGTAGATTAGCTGCGAGCATGACGAAATCATTTTTTAATGACCCGTGCAATCAGCACTAAAACTGATTTTTCTCGTTTGTATTGCATAACAATAAACGTGGAAATAAACCCCGAGGCGGTTTTTATAAAACACGAAGACAACTGAAAAAAAAAAAGTGCTAGAGCTGATTCTAAAATGTGAAACCCAAACATTCTCAGGAATGAATCTCTACTTAATCTTTTGTTTTGATCCGAAACACAGCCTGCATTGAACTGTCCGAAAGGCTCTTTCTTTCTTCGATAATCACATCTCCTGTCTAATTCATTTTCCTCGTTAAGAATTGCGTTGCGAGTCTTATAAACGCTGTTATAAAAGTGGTCCATTCGCCCTGGCAGCATAAGCCGTGATAAGCCCTATTTTTCACCGACATCTAAAACAGACAACAAAAAACACTGCATCCGGGAGAAAAGAAGAACCCCGAATAAACATCCCCGAATTTTATGACAAAATAGATTGAGAAAAACGGTGTGGGGCGAACACTTATTGAGAAAGGTTTAAATTGCAGTGCTAAATCAGAGAACCAAGTTAACCATAAAGTATGCATACGCATGCTGTAGAGGTTCACAGCAAACAAAACAAGAATTAAAATGTGAAACTAAAAGACGTTTATCTACTTTTATATATGAAAAAAACTTGTGTAAGGTCTGCCCTTAAATTCACCGAAGGTAAATAATACTGTAATACAAACGTAATACTTTTGTTTATTTTTTATAAGCCACAAGCGCGCTTCGTACGTTACGACCTACGTGGTGCAAAAATGGCGAGCGGTAGTCTGAAACAGAATTGTCTCAGGAGTTGCCGACACTTTCTTGTTTGTCCCGTACTTTTGTTCAAGATGAACACACTTCACCGCAGGCACACACGCACTCGTCGAAGAACACTCGCACGCGCACACGTCGCTGTTCCGGTCTTGCAGCGGTTGAACGCGTAGTCGGAGCCTCTCGGAAAAAACGTCCCATTTGAAATGGAGGAACATAAACCATCACTCGAACCACAAGTCCATAGGTGCCAGGGGCTGGGGCTACGTGATGGAGGTGTACTCGCCGGCGCAGCGATGACTGGAGCTCTGGTAAGCACTCGGATACTTTTTCCCTGAAACCAGAATGCGAAGCGTGACTCAGGCAGTATTCTGTCTCTCTGTGCTTGCGTGAATGAATAGGTTTCTTGATTGTACGCTAAGATGAAACTACCTACATTTGAGACGCCTACAGTGAAATCGGTTATACTCATCTATGAACCGATGAAGCAGTGCCAAAAAAAGATGGTCACGGCGCCCGTCGTTTTTTAGCTATCACCGGATAAAACCAATCACAAACAGAAACTGCAGAGTGACCCTGCGCTTTTGTTTTTTGAGTGATTAATTTCCCTAATCATATGAAACGCGCCAAGACGGCTAGTTCCGTGACTATGCCCTTTTGGTGCTGCTGATTACCAGCATCAGATCATCGCATCAGCTGCGGCCGGTCTTTGTGTGAAAAGGGGGGCAAGGTAGTACAGTAAGGCACGGTGTTAATTACTTTGCAGTTAAAGTGTCACTTTCATTGTGTCGGCTCGTTTCCTAAGCTACCCTCTTGTAAGTTCGCTAAGCACCCTAGATTGTGCCAGGTCAAAACAAGTAGGACACGCTCCTTCCATAAAGCATTCCATTTTTTCCGCTTTAGCAGCAGCGAAAAAGAAAATGACGGTCATTGCGTGCAGAGAGCTTTGTGGGAGGGGTTCGTTCTGCTTTCATTAATCTACAACAGATTAGACGTTCATTCAATTACGGATTCGTGTGTGTTTCGTAGAAATCAGTGGTTTAGGTTGCGCAACTCTTGGAGCTTAAGACAGAATCCCTGAAGATATAGGATTCACGTTTGTTTGGAAGGCCTAGGTGTACCTTACACTCACTGTGTAGACCTTTCCGTAGCTTATCGCCCGGGCAAAAATGCTGAGTCTCTGAGCTGTAGACGCATCCGCAGCGTCTCTTATACCGTACACAAGAGCTATAGCGCATGCTAAGAATGCCTTTCACAGCCCAGCAGACAAAGATGGCAGCGTAAAGAAGGTGATTTCTGAAAAGGTCTACAGAAAAATCGTAGAGGCTACAAGACTTATGTCTCTCGGACGTTTCAACAAGTTGATTAATGATCAGCCAACCACCTGAGGACTTAATCTGGAAACTCGGCGAAAAAGTCGGCGAGAGATTCGACCGCCCTGATTCCCAAGTAGCACAAAGTGGGTTCCAAAAGGGGAGCCGACGGAGGTCCCACATGGGCAGCCCACGTGGGTCCCACGTCGGCTTTGCAACTCGAGCCCAAGTCGGCCCCCCTTGGGCTGCCCACCGGGTTTCCCTCGTAGGAAACACAGCGGGCCTACTTCAGCAGCCCACCTAGGCGTCTGTCGAGGGATTTAGCAAAAAGCGGGTGCAAAAAAGGGAGCCGACGTGGGTCCCACGTGGGCAGCCCACGAGGGTCCCACGTCGGTTTTGCCAGCCAGTCCCAAGTAGGGCCTGCTGGGGCAGCCCCCGGGGGACCCACTAGGAGCCTATTTGTGCAAACAACATGGGCTCTTCTCGTGGGGCCACTGGCGGCCAGGTGGGCAACCCATATAGACCCCCTTCGTGGGGACCCCAGGGGGCCTCGTTGGCAGGCCACGTCAGGTCGGCCCGGGAACTTATGTTCGTTCGGAATCATATTATATGTTCCTTAAGGTGTGGGGTAATCCAGTGCATACCAAAAGTGAACATGCCTCACTTTCCTTATGAGCCTACCGAAAATATAACCATTTTGATAAATCAATAAAACGCTTGGAGAAAGGCCATAAAAAATTTTGCATTTCAAGTGTAAAAATTGGAACAAAAAAACTGTGCATATTTTGACTTATAATCCACCTTGGAGAGGTAATTGGGATACATAGCCACCTTCGGCCATCCACAGACACCGAAGTTTTACATTCTGACGAGAATGTTTCAAATTCACCCTAAAATTCGATAGTCGGCGTAAAAAAGTCTACCCTACGTAAAACGGCCTTCTCAGCATATAAGCTGAGTAGAAAGTTAATAACAAAATTTAGCAAGTGTAAATTTCTTCCTCGCGCTTTGAATTACAATTCTTTGTAATTCGGTATCAAATTAAGCGGATCTTTTATGTTGAATTTCCAGAAAGTGCAGTAAATATTATAGTATTATTTTTACACCAATACTAGACGAAATTGCCGTTTTGGGAGTTGCACAGGTGCTCCAAGTTGGGAATGCCCATGCTTTGACGCCTTGGAGCATATACCATTGCTAACTTGGCTCCCGCAGAGCCGAGTACTTGGCCCCCGCAGAGCCGACTGCACATGTAAAACCCACGGGGGTTTTACATGTGAAGTCCAAGTCGGGCCAGCCCACGCTTTTCCGCCATGAAGCCCCCATCTTCGTAAACTAGGGCCCCGCACAGCCGAGTGGAACGCATGGGAGTTTTACATGGACTGCGCAAGTTGGGCGCGCCCACGCTTTGCCATCATGGAGCCCCTGTATTTGTAAACTTGGCTCCCGCAGAGGCGAGGTAGGACCTACTTTTTTTTGTTTTCTTTTATATGGGCAGCCCCACTTGGGCACGCCCACGCTTAGCCGCTGTGGAGCCCACATCATTACCTTTCACACCCCGTAGAGTTAAGGTCAGTCCCACGGGGGTTTTGTATGGGCAGCCGAGGTTGGGCACACCCACGCTTAGCCGCCGTAGAGCCTACATTATCGCAGCTTGGCTCCCACATGGCCGAGATGGGATTCACGGGGGTTTTACATGGGCAGCCCAAGTTGGTCATGCCCAAACTGTGCCTCAAATTGCTCTCGTATATCCAAGGTGGGACCCACCGCGGCACTGCGTGGGCAGCCCATGTATGGCATGCCCACGCGTCGCCCACGTATGACCAACGTGGGTTTCGTAGGGGCTGCCCGAGTCCCTATTGCCCACGTGGGACCCACGTGGGCCACACCTTTTGTGCTACTTGGATTGGCCGGCGCAAACGTCCAGTGAGGCGCCGGTTAATCATGGCCTTGACGACGTTTCCGCCAAGTGGAGCTCAAGGGCAGGTAGGCCCATCACGGTGCCCTTATAAGCTTCAACGTATTGGAGTTTGTTCATAAGGTAAGCGGACCAAAGTGCTACTACCCCGACGGGGGCACGTGCCGAAAATGCTCCTTGCCGGCAACCACAAAATGCTTGGCATGGAAGTGTCTAATGTACTCCGAAAACCGGTTTTTCTAGAAATACCGTAAGGCCAGCGACCCTCCAGCTCCGAGGAGTTGATTTTGCCACAAAACACCACGGCCCCGAACGGTGCACCTACTGCGGCGACAGCTCTGCCTCTACGTCAAGGCCGACGGAGGACATGGGACCCTAGCACCTCACATTTAGCAGCCGCCGCTGATGCCGGCAGTAAAAAGCAGCATTGACATGGCAAAGTAAAAACGTAAAAAGAAAAGTCTTACAGGACCGCGTGGTGCCATTCGGCCTGTTGAGATCCCAGGACACTTGGTCCAGAGGCACAATAAACGTTTGTGGCCTCCCGCCGCTCACGCTCTCCCCTTCCAGGAGCTCTTCCGTGTCGTTCTCACTCCCGGAACTCCTGTGAAAAGAATTAAAATAAGTAGTTCAGAAACCTAAAGTTACTTTTTTTTATTCCGTATAACAGTGATCAAAACCATTGACCTTCCGAAATTGCCTACGCTTGTCTGCCCACTTTCCTCCTTGCCACATGACAAGTCAATGCAACGCATGGCCACCTCCGACCAATCTACGCAGGAGGTGACCTCCAATAAACTGCGAGCCTTCTCTGCGGTTTCAGCTGCTCCATCTTTTAAACATATGCTCCCTAGGGTATCGTGGATCCACAGTGACTCCTGACCGAAAAGAACAGAGCTGGCGTAAGACGCGGTTTTGTCACCTGTCACCATCTTCCCTCCACGGCGTTGTCTGTGGTACCTTTGGCTTGGATATGTGATACGGTGAGTTCCTGTAAAGCGCCTCGAGGCCTGCAAGAAAAAAAAAGAATATAACGCAGCATTATTCGCATTTTCTTGAGCAGGCCACGCGTCTCGCCGAACGAAGAGTCGTAGGGTTCGACTTGCTTACAGTGCTCACCTGTTTTCTCGTACGCATCTCTGCACGTCAACACCGCCTCTGAACTTGGTTCCCACATTTCTAGCTGGAACAAAAAGGACGCGCGTTTACTGGTATATTCACGGTATTTCGAAACCAAGGCAACTGCGCTAACGTTTATTCGTTTGTGTTTTGTACAGTGGAGTAAAGTAACAAGGTTGTTAATCAATTAAACTACCTCTGAAAAAAAAAAAAAGTTCAAGACATGTGAGGCAACTGCACCGAAGATGTAGAGATGTTCGACTTAGTTATAACAACAAATAACCTAGTCCAATAAATAGGGTTGACACAGATTCGTCTTTCGGTGTGGCTAGTAGTTTCAGTAAAAAAAAAAGAAAATATTGGTAAAGTTTAAAACGCACAGTGTGTGCGTTTACTGACGTTTGATATTTTGGGTAATTTGCCAAAATCTTACAAAAGTTTTGAATGGAAATCAGTCGTTTCTCAAAGGCCCCCCCTCTCTCTCTCTTTCTCTAACTGTCGTAAGCCACTCTGTCCCGCTTTAAACTTATTTGTATGACTGTATTTATTTTTAGTCAAGAGCGAGCACTGTACCCTAATTTAATTACAAGCGCGTCTTTGTTTTGACAGGTTTTGTTTTATGTTTGAATTTTTTACAAACATAAACAAGTGTATGCTGTGCTATTATTTTTCTTTCTCTTAGCCATCCTACTCACATGCTCTAAAATACTAACTTTCCAGGCAACTTATGCCCTCGACTAGTAAGATAAATATTCTTAGAAGCGTTCAAAAACACCCCTCGTAAATAGTCCAGCGTATTTTATTATCCATTTGTTTCTCTACTCCGTTTCGAATTCCCATGTACCACAACGGACGCTATGAAACATGTAGTCAAGCCAGCGCTCCGTAGATCTCCAAGACAACCAGAATGTGACCTGACACGTCTGAGCAGTAAACTGTTTTTGGGTCTTCCAGGCGTCCGTTGCGGTACATCGCGAGGGTAAATCGGACTCTAGATTAAATTTAAGGCATCACTGAAGGAAAAATAAACCCTCGAAACCAATTATCCGCTGCTTCCCTTTGATAACCTGTCCCGTCTCCCTGCACGTGGGTATGGCTGACAGCGTAAACGCGGGGCGAAAGATCGACTTTTGACTGGTCCATCGAGCTCGTAGCTTGCATCACCTTAATATCTTACGAATGAACGGAGTATGTGACTCGGAATGGTGATTCTAGGGTTCCCTTTAGAACCTTAAGGAAACTCTTAACGCGGCTCCGACGGTCTGAGAAATCGTTTTCTTTTTACATAGTTGCGCGTAAAAGTTAGAGTGCCTCGTCAGTATTGACCTACTCTCTTGACGGGATAAGGGACGTCGTAGGTGCGGCCCTTGGGGTCGTCTAGCCTGGGGGGCCCCCCAGCGCCGCCGCCGCCACTTGTGTTGCAGTGGGCGGGCTGCCCACTTCCACGGTGGGTCGAATACGGGGTCGGGTAGTACACGGCCTCCTGGGGACGGCCTTGAGACTCGTGCGACACGGCCAGCATCATGTCGCCCTTGCTGGCGTCGCAGCACTCGGCCACCACCATGCCTGAAGAGGAGATGGAGAGGGCACATTCGCGTTTGAGTGCGACGAGGGAATGCACTTTCTTTATGTGTTTGTGTTTGTTCTACGAGTAGCGACATATGCGACAATACTCGAGGCACGTGCCCGCCCATGGCCCTTGGAAGCAAATATCGCCGCAGGTCTCGCTGGTGGCACTGGCTCTGCGCTTTAGCACAACATTTGTTATCGGTACTTAGAACAAATGCGAAGTGCAAATTGTATCCAGAGGCTAGCAGTAGAATCCGTTTATTAGGAGGAAAGGTAAACCAAGATAACTTGACTTGATTATATTTATCTGGCTGGAACGCGAAATAGAAGGTTGGAGTGACATTGCGTGTGCTGTGTCAGGTTCTTTGACCTGACGTAGTCAAGGAGCGCGTTCATAATCGGCTTCCGTCGTTGTAGTTCTTTGTCTGGGAGTGACCGAGTCTTCGTACCTTAATGGTCGGTATTCTTGTATCAAGGGGCTTTAAGTGGACTGACACACTGACACCAACTATCAGCTATAGTCACTGGGAAACTGAAAACAGGAAAGCGAGCTTCCTGCCCCTACAAAAATATGTATGGACGTCCTATGTCCATACTTTTGCCGTTCTATTACCCCTTTGTCCATCCTATGGATTCCTGTAGACAGTTCTTAGACCCTCTATGTACCACTGGTTTGCCACAGAATGGACACAACAACGCTATAGAGATCTTCGCGAAAGAAAAAGTTTTTCATTCCTTCCTATTTCCGTTCTATGGACCTGGTGAGTCTATGGACATCCTATTGCCTCTCTATGGTGTGAGCCATATATTGGTACATTAATAAAGTGATGCCGGGTAGACGTTTTCTTTAGGTGTAGCGAGGTGTCCGAGTTAAAGAGTTGTTAATTAAGTTCCGGGTATCAATATGTTACATTGATGTTTAGAGGCATATCCAACCTCAGGGTATATTCCTTGTGGAGGTGCAAGTGTTTAGTAGGGTGCCGGAATAATGTTTTTACTTTCTCAGTGGGAGGTAGATAAATGTGGGTCGCTGCGGCCCCCGTAGATATTCGCAACTTTCACAACCTATAGGGGGCGCACTGGTGCCTATCAAAATTGCGGTCATCTAGATGATCGTCGTAAAACAGCGGTATACTAGGCTGGGTCTGCGCGCGACGCGTAAGTAATTCTAGTTATGCTGTATGCGCGCAGTATCAAAACCTTACTTTTTTTCACGTCTGGAAAGTGTAGGCAAGCCAATTTATTATGAGGCCAATCATCCAGGAGCTAGGGAGTGCGATTCTCACACCGCGGTACCACCATCGCTTAAAGTGGCTTCTCTATGGACCCCGTAAGGACTCCGTGCAGACCCTGTATGGCTTCTCTGCAGACTCCATAAGGAGCCCGTGTAGACCCTGTATGTCTTCCTTGTGGACCCTGTATGGCTTCCCTGTGAACCCCGTACGTACTCCCTATAGACCTTGTATGGCTTCTTTGCAGACCCCTAAGGACCCTACACTCTTTAAAATGACTTTTACAGAGCACGTTTTTGCGTAAAAACAAAAGGGAAAAAGCTCTTTTTGTAGAAACCTTTATTGGAGATAGTACAAAATGACAAGGGCGTGATGTTTGCATACACTTTTAGCTTACAGGGTTTTGCGGTACAAGTAATATTTCTTTTTACAGCCATGCCTCACCGGCGACTTCAGGTAGCGCGTCCCAACTTGGGTGTTTCCTAACTTCGGTTGCAATTCGCGGCGCGTCCGCCTGGGAGACGGGGGTTGGCATCCCTGTTACCTCCGTCCCTGGATCTTTGTAGCGTACATGCTCCTATTGTATACCGGTGTGATTTACGTCTTGCAGTTTACAGTGTCAATAAACTTTTCTTTAAACCCTGAAACCCCTCTCTACCGTATATGTTTCGGCGCCAAAGTGGCCGATTAAAGCCAAAGCAGAACAGTCACATGCTGTCGAATATCGATAGTCCTAAATTAGCAAACGCGGTCGTGCAGTTGTCCGAATGGCCGCTGCGGTTGGAATGGTGGCGTTGCGATCACAATTAGTTCGGTTTTCGAGTACAGATCGGTGCCGCGTTTTCAGAGCAAGCTTTTTAGCGTTTCCCAACTGACTTGCTCTAGAAACGTTGGTCGGTACGGACCCCGTAGCAGACCCCCTGAGTGGCTTCTTTGCGGACCCTGTAGGGACTCCCTGTAGACCTCGTATGGCTTCTCTGCAGACCCCATGAGGACCCTGTGTAGACCTTGTATGGCTTCCCTGTGGACTCCCTAGGGACTCCTTGTGACTTTGTATGGGTTTTCTGCAGGCACCCTATAGACACCATAAAGACCCTGTGTAGACACCTTATAGAGCCCCTATGGACTCTATATGGCGTCTTACCATAGGGAGGGTATAGAATGACCACACATCATCCATAGAATAGGACGTCCATAGAACGTCCGTTGGCCAATATTCTATAGGGCAGCCATAGGACGACTTCAAGGAGGCAACAGAGGTCGTGGTCTGCCTATTGACGCCTTTTGTTCTTCCTACGGACGCTGCTCTATAAATGTCCAAGAAGTGTCCATACATATTTTTGTAAGGGTGCCTTCAACAACCTCCAGCGTCTCGAACGCTTTCTAACTGCGTATGAGTAGATCGAAGGTTTTGCAGTATTTGCGAGATCACATTTACGGATTATTTAAGAGAGTAGTATTTTATAGAACAATATAAGAATTGAATGAAAGAGTATTTCGTAAAATGTACGCAGATCGAAAATGTTCCTGGGCTGCCCCATAGGTGGCGCCAATGTGTTGTCTCATCGTAAGCAGTAACAGGCGAACGCAACTCAGTTGATCAGGCTCAAACACAGATGTGTGAACCATCCTTGAGCATCTGTGTGCTCACCGTCTGTCATCCTCGGCCTAGAGTCGTAGGTCCTCTTCCTGAGGACAATGCAGACGACGCCGAGCACGATGACGAGGACCAGGGCCGAGCTTACGATGGGCACGGTCACTGTGAGGTGCCGGTAGAAAGCAACCTGGGGATCCATGATCTCGGAGCGTCTGGAAGGAACGTCTGGAACACAGAAAATAAGAATAAAAAAACGTGAGAAGTACGAAAAGAGTTAAACGGAGCGCTCAATCATCTCTTTGGAAAGCCGGTTTTAGAGCAAGGCGTGCAGGAAGGATTTGTTTGTTTATTCAACGATATAATATGAGAGGAGAAATGAATTTTAAGACTGTGGTTATTATGGCAGAGCAGGCTTTGCTGAAACAGAATTGTAGCGCCCAATCAATTTTCTCGAAACAGCCTTCCACGCGTGCGGTTTCTTCTGAAAAACATTTCGTTTTATTTCTTGTTGCAGATAGCGAATTACCTACACCACCCAGCGTTTGTTCTATACAACACACACCGGCTTTTGTCTAAATTCTACGGGGCATCAATTTTTTTACTGCATGGCGCAACCAAGTCAGCCATCACTCTTTATCTTATTATTCGTTATTCATTGGGACATCCTCGTACTATAATATTTATCAAGTGAAAAGATACAAAGATTCGACAGAACTCAGTGACTAGAAAGTCACGGCCTAATAGGAAATAATGCTTGTCTGCTGAGTTTCTTTGGATCTAGGTCCAATGAAATTTTCTTACCCAGAAACTTTGTTTTTATACTGATAAAGCGTGCATGGAGATATCGGCCTATCTACGTACTGCGATGCGGTCAGGACGCGGATTCTCCGGGCATTTTTGCGAAGTGTAATGTTTTAAGAAGACAAAGTGAAGGAAGAAAGAAACGGAGCTGTATTCCTATATCCTAAGGCAAACTGTCGTAATTAGTCACGCTACAAGTTTATTTAAGACATCATGATCTCACGTGACAGCGTGGCGTAAGGTGTCGCACTGACGTATTGTACGAATGTGACTTCATGTGACAATCTCACGTCGCATGACACAGCAAGGTCAGATGACATCATGACGTCACTGTATCCCGTCATAATATAGACGACGAACGCCCTATAACACCTTGCATCAACATCATTTCAAGTGAGATGAAGAGCACATAACAGTAAAAGCAAGTGAGAGAAGGGGATGTGCCCCTACCACCGGCAGGCGTGAGGGTGGCGAAGCTGAGCTCGACCTCGGTGGAGCCGGCGTCGTTGTGGGCGGACATGAGCAGGGTGTACCAGGAGCCGGGAACCAGGTCTCCCAGGTGGACGAGCTGCTGCTGCGGCACCACGTTGTTGGAGTGCAGCGTCCACTCGGACTGGGTTCCCTCGGCCCGGTACTGGACCACGAAGTAGGACACGGGGCAGCCGCCGCTTTCCCACGCCTCCAGGTGGAGCACCACGAATGTGCTGTTGATTTCGAACAGCTTGCCCGGTTCGGGCTCCACGGGGCCTGCGAAAGGTAGGGTACACGCGAACGATGTTTAGCTACATTTGTCGATACGACGTAGAAGAGAAGGCCCCCGCGTTTAGCCCCCATACGTTATCACTAGTGAATTCACGTAGTGCTGCCTAGTTTGCGTCGGTATTGTCGACAGCGCGTCTTGCAGCATCTCATAACGAGAACAAGGGTAGCACGCGGTGACGCTGAGACGTATGCGAGGCTGTCCTCGAGCTTCGGCGTGCTTGCCGCTTGTGTCGGGATGGGGATCCACTAATGATGGCGTCATGCGCAGGCCTTGTCTTTTACGTGTGTTTAGACATGTCTATTGTGGGAAAAGAAAAAAAGTGTGTGGACAAGGATTGAAATTGTGTCGAAAATTCCACTCGGGCTTAGCGCATCTCTTGGCAGCGGCACTGTCTGCTTGGAGCTGCATGCGCAGGCGCGATCAGAACCTCTCGCGGCCTTAAAAACGTGTGCGTTGATAAGGACGGTTCCTCGAGCTAATATCATGCTGCGCCATCTCATGGCGTTTGTCAGAAATGGCAGCTACCCTTCGACACGCTGGCGTCATGGTGAGGCGGTGCTGTACAAACACCCCTCTCTTCCCAAATGCACTTGCTTGTAGGGTGAAGTCACTGGACGCCATATTTGAGTGCGCTGCGGACTGCGTATACTCAATACGAGCTCCGGCTTATAGGCGAGTGAAACTTGACGAAAGTAATCCCTGGAGAAGGGCAACAAAAGGGACAAAGGACAAACACAAATCTCCAAACACAGTTAGGTGACTGGTGCGCGACGGAATATATGCGCCTGGTCCGGGTATCGAACCCGGGATACTCGATTACAGGTGGAGCGCTCTACCATGGAGAAGGGAAACAAAAGGGACAAGGAAGGTGCAAGCGAGCTGGACATTCTTGTCCAGCTCGCTTGCACCTTTGCATTTAATTGTATTATAATGAAACTTGAAATTCCGATGGCGTTGTAAGCACCTTGCAAAGGAACTGTGGAAGCTTTCCTTCAGCACACGCTAAGCAGCCGCGGCCTCGGCTATGGCCTCCATTAAATGAATGCTCCCTACAGCCGTTTGCAAGTATGGCGTCCCGACTGGTGACCCATCCGTGCGTGCAGCTTCGTCATGCGCGTGAAGGTAGCTTTGGCAGGCCTGCAATTTCACGCACTTCCCCACGCCAGCACGAACATGGCGGCAGCCAGGAGCTGTTTTCAATCGTCTGTACGGCGCACAAGCTCGTTTGTTTCTTGAGCACCTCGTATGATTGCTTCCACGCCAAATGGGCCCACTGATCATACTTCGCACAAGAACCTTTGCTGTAGACATGTAAACGGAATAATCTGCGGGAACTCAGCGAGCATGTTCGAAGCCCTTTTACTTCGTTCTTTTTTTTTTTTATCCTCGAAACATGTCTGGAGACAGGAAACCAAGGAAGAAACATGCGTCAGAAAGTGCGTGCAGACTGCCTTTTGTACGATCTCTTAGCAGTGCGACCCCGGCTTTAGCTTCTCAAAGACGTTTTCTGTAAACTCTGGCGGCCGTGAGTGCGGGACGCAGAACCCGACGTTGAGTTTAGCTTACGTCCTCCGTTGGTTCTGACGCTGAGTGTCTCGCCTTGCGGTCCCTTTCCTGCCCGGTTAGTGGCCCTGATGTAGACCAGGTATTCCGTTCCGCACCTCAGGTCGGACAAGGTGAATGCTCGCCGGTCGTGGGGCACGGACACCTCGTGCCATTCGCCACCCTCGGACTTGTAGTAGACGGAATAACCTGCGTGATGGCACCAGGGAAGATGCATGTTACGTGTCCTAATCGTGCATGAGTGCTTATTAAGCGAAGCACCCGCGCAATACAACATCGCACAGGCTGTCTTCGTGCAGCGGTATCATATACACCAATAAGCCAGCCTAAAAAAATAAAAAAATAAGTTGGTACGTTTATACATTTTGAACTTAGTCTGCCTCAACCGGCGATTTGACTCTCAGCTATAGTTGAGCAATTTAGCCAGTACGGCACAACCGCGACCCTGGGGTCTTTAACGTGCGCCACGCAGTAGTGATACACGACCGCACGCCGGTACGATGCTCATCCAGATCGAAACGGGCACTAGATTGAGATTGAACCCACGATGTCTGGGTTCTGCAGCGCGAGCTTTCGCTCTATGAACGGGCGAGTGTAAGTCTGCAAAAAACTGTTTATACAAGTGCTAACATAGTACATGTTTTAGAAGAAAATAAAAAGAAACCGTATTTATTAAAATTTTAATAGGAAGGGGCGTAAATCGGCGTGGATTCCGAAAGAGTCCGAGTGTCCTTTTCTACTTAGGGTCGCGCCGCGTGCGTATTCCCGCCCACTCCAGGACACGTGACGCCCTCTCGTGCCCCTGTGGACAACCGTAAATGACAAAACATTTATTGTCAAAAAAAAAAAAAAACGATCACAGTTGTTCTTAATAAGACGCTATGTGATCGCTTTATGAAATAAAAATAAGAACGTTACTCCGCTTGAACATTTTTTTCTATTTATAAAAACTAAATAATATTTCATAACTGCAGAAGCGCTTGCCTGAAGCTGTTTGAGGTTTAGGCATAAAACGACCTCATATGTGCAGGTAAAACGTCGCATATAAATCGTTTTAATTAAATTCTATACTTTGCTTTCAAACTGTTTAACAGACTCTGAATGGGATTTGGTTCGTATTATATTACCTCTGCAACGCCACGTGACTCTACGGAACGCCTTACACTCTCCGTCTCAAAGTTACTTGGCAGTCCAGAATGAAACGGCAAGACGGTGCGAGCATATTGCCTTCACCTTGGGTGGTGAAGTATGAAAAGCGTGAGGGCATCTCCACCGTTCGCTCACCCGTAATGGGAGCTTCCTGAAGGTGTTCGTTCTCCCAGTTGACGGACACGGATCGGGAGGTGGTGCCGCCGATCCTCAAGTGTGGGGCGCTCGGAGGATCTGGGCAAAAAAAAAATAATAATAATAATATAAAAACGTTTTATTGATTTTTTTTTTTTTTTTTTTTTGCATGGAAATCACGATGTGTATTGTAAATCTCATTCCACGCTTTCCTCAGAAAGCGTGGAATGAGTATTACGATACACATACAACGTGGTCACGACATAAACAGGGTGTTCGAATTTAATTAGAATAACGAATTTATAGGTGGTAAGGGTTACGCGAGTGCATTTATCATGTTAGGTGAACGTTATTTATTTATTTATTTATTTTAATACCTTCGAGGCTCGAAAGCCGTGCAGAAGGTAGGGGTAATCAAAAATAAAACAATAACAACAACAGATACGCTAACACCAGAACATAAAAGATACAAAGGCGCATTAATAGGACAAAATATGTCGCAATCGCAGATTTAAAATTGAGTTGATCTGTTATGCTGGCGAACGGAGGGGGACAGCTGGTTCTATTCGATTGCTTGTTTCAGGAATAAAAGAAAAAGGGAACATCTTAGTGCGCCAGTGTGGGGCACCTTTTTTGTGGCAGTGGTCCGCGCGGGATGACAAGTATGGCGACTCTAAAAGCAGCTCTCTTTTCAGTGAATGATTTTGATGGTAAGTCTTATGAAAAGGGGCGAGTCAAGACACTTTTCTGCGTAGAATGAGATGAGGAAGGTTGAAAACAGCATTCGTTGATGAAACTCTTTATCCACGATTGTAGTTCGAGAAAAGATAATGAGCACTGCGATTTTAAACTGATACTAGGTTATTAGTGAAAACGTCTAGGCTTGGATCCGATATCGCACAAGCGTACTCAATTAAAATGGCTTCGTGAGCTAGTTGTGCGTGTTTAACTGAAAAAATGCCTCAGAAATACGTGGACACGAGAACGAAGGGACAGGACCATGCACCACTTACAACTGAACGTTTATTGGAAACACACTTCCTATTTATTAACGCAATCAGGCTTCCGACAAAAAAAGGCAATCTCTTTATCGGTTAGTTAAATGCACCGACGGTGCACTTACGCAGCTATTCTCGCCCTTCACTCTTACGCAACATGCCTCATGTAACTCTCTCTCAGTTTTATTTCACTTAATAACGAGCATAAACTCTGCAAAGTGAAATCTTTAAAGATAAAGGCACCATAAAAGGTATCGACGTAAATAACCGAGCATTTGATTAGCGTCGTTTACAATGGAGTTGATATCCGTTTGCCAGGAGAGTTTTGCAGTGATCTGGACGCCTATGCACTTGTACCACGTCACTTTAGGGTATAACCATCACAAAGGATTACTTAATTAACTTTTAATTACTGATTTTACAAGTTAAGGCCTTTTCACACATTCAGCGGAGCGCTACCAGCATAGCGATGACCTCGCGCTGAGCGCGTGCTGACGGGAGCAATCACGAGCTTTGTATCGCACCGTCAAAACTATAGCTCATGGCAGACGATAAGTAGCAGACGACACATGAGCAGCGCTACATCTGCGCTTCGCTGCATGTGCCACGCCACAGAGTGCCACGCAGCGCTCGACACGAGCACTCCGTGGCACTCTACTTGTCCTCGTGACCACCAATGCGACAATGCCTTGGCAATCATCCGGCCACTGGCTCGTGTCTAAACGCCGCAGTGACGACAGTAACCAAACTTTAAAGGGGCGGTGCAAAGATTTTCGGATTTCGGCCGGGTAACTGCCGGAATACACACTCTAAAGAAAGCCCGTGCGTTTTTGTTTGTTTTTTTCCCCGCAGAACACGCGGACAGCTAGTCAATGCTGTTTATCGAATCAGCTCAGCAAATGACAATGTCGAAACATGTCTTTAAACCAAAAAGCGAGGTCCGCGATGCAGCATTAAGCAATGCAAAACGTCACGCTTGCATTGCTTGATGCTACATCGAAGAGTTCGCTTTTCGGTCTAAACATATGTTTCGGCATTGTCATTCGCTGAGCTGATTCCGCAAACAACTGTGATTGGCTGTCCGCGTGTTCTGCGGGAAAGAAGACGCACGGGCTTTTTTTAGAGTGCAGGACACTACTTCTTTTTCTTGCATGCGCTATTTTTCTTCCTTTTATGAAACAAGTCGAAGGTCAAAGTACCCCTCAACTTTCACGCCGTCGTTCGAGTGACGTCACTGGAGATCCACCTGGGTTCCCGTCGCGTTCTTTCTTCAGAGCCCCCAGCGGCTCCCTCCGCAATTGTTGACTTTTTCAAGGATTAGCATCTCCGAAGGTTGTGGCGATCGATCAAGACAAATGACAGTTCGCCACGGGGCTGGCGGCGCGTGTACCAGCGGAGGGGGACTGGTTTTGTTGACTTCCGCGACACCGTTAGCAAAGAAGAATCTCAACATCAGCGCGGGTCCTTTATCAGGAACAAAACCCTAAAGAAACTACCAATCGGAAAAAAAAAAAAATAAAGGGAGGGCCGGGAGGGGGGGGGGGGGGGGGGGGTCGGAGAGAAAAGGTAAATCAACACAAAGTGACATCTTAGAAAAACCTAAAAAAAACGCATCTCCACGTGGTCAATAATGTTGATTGGGGCGAAGCTCTGGTGGTGCTTTCCTGCGTTGACGCTGAGCCGCAGCATGCCGAGCCTTTCGTTCGTTTTCATCCATGTCACGCTGCGGTCAAATGCTAAAGTGCGTATATAACCACGTTCCATACCCCACATTCACTTTCCGACATGGATGAAAACGAACGAAAGGCTCGGCATGCTGCGGCTCACCTTCTACGCAGACAAGCACCGCCAGAGCTTGGCCCAAATCAACATCATTCACCATGTGGAGACGCAGTTTTTTTTGTTTTTTGTTTACCCTACACGAGCACGGGAGCACGTGCTCAAGTGCTCGTGAGCACGAGCACCCGACGCCAGACATCGAACGGACATGGCTAGCCCCTAAGGAGCTTCGCCCCTTAAAATTAGATAACAGGGAGATCGACAAAAGCTTGCAGCGACTTTCACCCAGTGAACTATGGACTGTCGGTCAGAAGCAGAAGCATAAACTATGATTGAAGATGACGTAATAAGGCAGGCGAGCTGGTTGCAGTTCAACATTTCTAAAACCCAAGACGGAGGCTACAAAGAGGGGACAAAAAAGGGCGGCGTGGCCTCGTCAGCCACTTCAAAGTGCCTTTAGCCATGTCCCCCAAGACATTCTGTAAGTTCTGTCTCAAATAAACTCATACAAACAAACAAACAAACGTCTCAAACACAGCTACTAAAATTCTATTCAGGACACTTCTTTTACACCTGTCATCTCCACACCACCCTCCAACTGCACACGGACAGAACTTTCACTACAGTTTACAGCCGACTACAAACGCGAATCATAGGGTTCACAGGAAACGCACAGACCACGTCCTCAGTAGATGTACACAATAGGCAAGGTCACTTCCAACCACCGACAAAACCTCCCAACAGGCTTTCACAAAAAAAAAAAAAAAAAAGAAAGCTACAGTTTCTACATGATTACAAGAGATGGTCTGAGGTTCACGCGAAAAAAAAAAAAAGACCCCGCCCTCAGTACATATATGCCCACCTTTCCGCTAGTTAAAAACGACGGATGGCCAAGCTAACTTAAAACTACGACTATATAAAAAAAAGGAAAAAAAGACGATGACTATATTTTTTTAGATAAACACGTTATAATCACCATATCAGGTGGTTAAGAATAGCTCTAAAAAAGTAAACACTAGTGTAATAAACAAAAGAGGACAAACACCTATCATACGTTTTATTTAACGAATTAAAGAAAAACGAGGGAGGGCCCAGCGCGTGGGAATGACGACTTCTTTGTAGCATATACTCAGGGAGTGTAGTTGGCACAATATTTGATTCTGAGAACTCACCTGAAAATCTTAACGTTTAACGTTGGACTAGATCGCTAGACTTTTTTTGCAGGCAACATAATAGAGAAAGCTTCTAAAGCATGGGAAGCAAAGGTTAACTGGTTAATTATATCCAGACTTTCAGATTTTAAGTGAAGAAATAACTTCTAGACGGGTTCATCCCAGACATGTACAAGTTACTAAAAAAAAGTAATTAGTTTAAGTTACTAAGTATTGACGTTAAAAGTAATTTGAGTAGAATAGAAATCACTCAAATATAAAGTAATTAGAAAATGACTAATTACCGTAAAAAAGTAGCGAATTACTTTTGAAGTTGCTTTTATATGTTTTTTTATGGTAGAAAGAAAGTACAGGATGTTTTGATCCGTTAGCGAAATTGTGCTAGCCACATATGAATCGGCTTGTTTTATTGTTTTTTTTTTCTATTTTTTGCACAGAAACGCTTTAATAGCTGGTTCTGCTTCTGCGTCCCTGATGGTTTTGTACTTTCTTGATTGTTTGGGGGATGATGTACTGCGAATGTATCATTTGTACTTCGAGGTTTATCACTGTCTCAGCTTGATCTTTTAGACAGTGTTTGCTTGTGTACAGTGTTGCGTAAGGTACATCTAAAAAGTACTTGAAGTAATCTACGAAGTAAATGAGAGGTTATTTACTTCAAGCAAAGTAGTGAGTACACCGGGTGCAGTGTACTTGAAATAACCTATGTAAACACAATATATTTCAAAGTAAAGCACAATCACTTTTAACACAATCTTTCATGATGCCCGTTCATTCTCTATACTGTGCTTTTTTAACTGGTATGCATTGCTCCAGGGGCAATCGGAGGTGCATCCTTTTTTTACGGAAATGAGAGCAGATATTGTATAAGGTCAAGATGCCGTAAAGTAGTTGTTTTACTCTCGCTGAAGAGCTATTTGACACAATAAACTTAAAGGCACTATTACCACCATTACTTCACTCACAGAAATGACCAGATGACGTCTCGAAAGAGCGCGTTTTCACACGACGATAACGCCATTTTTTTTTTGTTTTCGAATTCGGGGAATGTACATTGAAGTCGGGAGTTTTACTGTTCTCGGAAAATACAAGTACATGTTCAGAAAATTTACTTCAAGTAAAGTAATTTTTCTAAGCAGTGGTACTTTAA